AAAAAAAAAAAAAAAACAAAAAAAAAACAAAACAAAAATATTTAGCTTCAAGAGGCTTAGGCCTACCCTAAAATTAAGGAACGCTCGACCTCGACACGTGATATTGAAATGGGCGAAATCGCCTCTTGATGTCACTAACTATCTTGACTCTTGATAGGTTTTGAGTTCCTGCAGTAAGTACAGGAACGGTGCTGTCATTCCATCGGGGAAAGCTTGTAGGAATCCGTCCCCACTTACTTTCTACACTGCCATTACTAATCCGAGTGTCTGGTGAGATAATGAGGCTACTGGACGAGCATACAATGCAGAGTGATAACATAGGTAGCCTCAATATTGGAACGGGAGACCCTTCTTCCTGTTTGTGGAGGTGACTTGCAAGGCCGCTTACCGGACCCAGTAGCGCCCTACCTCACTAGCTCTTTTCTGCACTGGAATCGAGTTCGAGCAACACTGTCCATATTGAAAAACATGGTGCCTCGCAGTCTTGAAGGTGCGTCATGCTCAGTCACTTTTCTTTTCACTTTTTGACGATTGCCTCATCCAGGTTAGGTGAGCCGACATTCCTTTAAACCGGGTAATTTACATATATTTTTGATAGTCTTGGTTATGGTGGCTGTTTACTAGTCAGACTATAGTTCCAGTCGCAGCTCATACTCCCATTTTCGACTGGAAATGTAGGAAAACTGCCTGTTTTTCCCGTTATCTTGACGTCTTTCCCTTAGGCTGCGAACGTCATGGACTTAGCACATTTAACATCTTGATACTTTCACGGACAGATCCATAAATTTGGTTATCCTTATGTGAACACTCCCCTCAACGCAGACTTCGTCTTGTGTACATTACTCCCCTGTATTCACCATGCGTCGGGTAGACCAAGAAATCCCCAATGTTTGATGGGACATCTCAACTGGACATGGCGTCGTTCTGACATCTCAGAATGCGCGTGGGAGATATGTCAGGAAGCTCTGATTCAAGATCTCTCGATCTTGAGAAGCAGCTCGAACTGGAGGTTCTCATGGACGGGAGCAATCAACCAACTGAACCTCAGGGACCGTCATACGGAGGGAGAATCTCCACTTCGAGCTGCTTCTCTGGAGTGATAGGTCCCAAGTCTGGTTTTCCTGATGCTGCTCCCACGTGCAACCTGAGATAAACTCGATGTCCAGGATTACAGGCAGAAAAGCATTAGGCAGACAATAGTGCGGTACTGCTCTCCAAGGCTTTGGCAGGAGTCCTGGGCCTGCCTGAACAACGACTACAGTACCATGGTGTGCGTGGTAGAGATAATGACAGCGTGAAAGAGTTTCTATTCCATTGGCCTGCCTACAAAGAAGGACATTGAGGCTCCTGCCAGGGAATCTCATGAAATCAGGTTTTTGAGGGTGTTTAGATTTGTAGGAGAAACATAGTAAGAACTTGAGGTTCCAACAATTTCAGGTGTGCAGTGTCTGACATATAGCTCAATGAACATGTAACAAGGACATCTGTATCCCAAAATGTGCATTGAATAGGGAGGTGTACACTATTCTAAGTCAACGTTGCCCAGGTGTTCACATAATGAAGGATCCCCATAAATTAGAACAGTTTATGTTCAGCAGCATTTTAGCACTAATGTTAATTAAAAAATTGTGATGTTCATGTAAAATCAGATGTGTTCAGGACAGGAGGACATGCAATTGTTGGAAGGACTGAAGTTAAGAAAAGTTATGCAGGTACTTACAGTGTTTGTTGTAAAATTACTGGGTTGGTTTTTTTTTGTACCTGCTTTGAAAGAATTTGTAAATGTTTCAATAGTCAGTAATTCCTGGTTATTTACACCTGTTGTGAAAATAATTTCTCTGATGGACATATATATATATGTATAATAAGTGTGATTAGAATTGTTTTCATTGGTATGGAAATGTCTCTGATAGTAGTCTAAATGAAGTAGAGTTCACTAAAGCCATTTTTGGGGTCAATGGTGTCCAAAATTCATTTCTAGTTTGCAGTGTTCTTTTTTCTAATCTGATCAGTCAGTATTATTGGATAGCCTTTGTTAATTCTGCATCCAGGCAGCATTTTTATTTTCTACATCCAAAAAAAGACCTGCAATTGAAGTGTTGTATAGAAAGCTTCCTGGAGTGGTAGTCAGAGAGTGGATTGTATTATGTTAGCTTGGCTGAGTCTTACAGAGTTGTTGGTGTAGATATGATCAATTATGGGAGAGCAAGACAAATATCACTGTGGCATTAATCCTTTGCACTCTGTTGTGAAACATAGCTTGGCATAATATATTTCCATATTCTGATCTATTGTTGTTTTGCTCTCCCTTCACACTTAGTTTGACAGTGTTTCAAAGTAATTCATGTCATTTCCTTTTTTTTCAGGTTCAGTGAAAGTGGTAATAAGTGACCTATCCAAGATTGATGTCAGTTTCTGCATAATGTGAACTCATCTACCAACTTTTTGACGATGTATTCTGAGTGGACATCGTTAACTGAAAGTATCCAATGCCCAGGGGCACCAAGTCGAAGTGTGCTTCGGCAGTATCCCATGGGTGTTGGGCGAGAAGTTTCAGTCATTACTGTGAAGCACTTGACACAAAATTTGGGACTCACTGCAACTCCTGCTTCACCAAGTTTCTTGCTTGAAGAGCGTGATGTGGATTGGAGCATGGAGGTGAGACAATGCTGAGCTTGTTTCATGTCATTTTAAGCCTATCATTTTAGAGATACTTGGCTAGGAGACAAATTGCTTCTTGATAACATGTAGGTATAATTTTCATGCAGGTCATTTGCCATGGACTCACTCTTCCCCTGTCTGACCATGATACTTTGAGAGACTGTGTCAATGTTTATTGTGAATGGTTGTCTGCATTGTGCTCACTTCCAAAAGTATCAGTCCCTCGACCTGTTTTAGAAGATCCCAATCTCTACTGTCGAAAAATGATCAAGCACCTGTACAATCTCTTTGTTCCTCGACATGGTGATCGTAAGTGGAATGATTTTAATCAGAGTGGAACACTTGCATTTCCATCGATGCTATGATTGCAATTTTTCTTTCCTATATCTAGCTCCAGACATAACTCACAAGCAAGCTGTCCTCTGCCATAGGGTTCTGAGAACTCTTCAGACTGTAGCACAAACATCAGCCAATATGACTTATGAAACTTGGGAAACTCTTCTATTATTCCTGTTGTCCATAAATGATACTTTGCTCTCACCTCCAACTATCAAAGGTTGACCTTTGCTTTTGAATTTAAGGACTATGAAGAGGACCCATGTATGATGGTGATTCAAAAATGGTAAAAAGGTGTTTTTTTTTTATAGATGATATAGGTGATCAGCTCTGCGAGCGTGTGTTGAGTGTGTTATTTGAGATATGGTTGCTTGCTTGCCATAAGTGTTATCCAACTCCTCCATTGTGGAAGACCTTCCAAGAAGTATGCAGAAGATGGAGACATCGACCAGCTTTGGTTGACCAGTGGAACAGAGCTAATTTTGCTCTTGCAGCTCGTGTCTTAAAGTTCATGTATGGGCCAGCATATGCTGATTTGAAGTTGCGTTAGTACCAACTTTCATTATGGTCAAAATTTTAATAGTGTTGGACATGTAAAAACTGGAATATCTGCATTCAATTTTTTCATCCTAAAACTCAGCTGAAGAGGATGCAAACTTGGTACCTGCCAATATGGAGAATTCCACATTGGCTCAGACTTGGTACAGAATGCTACGCATAATGGGTGATCCAGTGGAATTGGCTAAGGCAGCTGTCATCTCAGACACTCATCCTTTCATTGAATGGTCTGGGACCCAGGAGTCAGTAGTTGAACCATGTCAGCATCCTTGCCTTGGTGTCCTCCCTCAGGCATTCTTGAAGGCCATGCGAGGAATTTCTGGTCTTGTTGATGCCTTTCTAGGTAAGAATGTAACCTGTATTCTTGATGCTTGTCACTCTAGTTGACTGTACAACAGTCAGTTGCATATATATGTTTCTTCTGACAGCTTTCTTGGACTTGAACAATTCCAGTATACTGGTGTCATGTATATCTGCCAGAAGACACATCATGGAGTAATGCCAAGTATTACTGTTGATTTCTAGTTTGGCCTCAGTTTTTTATTAACACTTCAGGCCATTTTTTCCCTGGATGCATTTGTGATTAGGTTCCAAACAAATTCAATTACCCACATATGAAAAATTCCTTGCATTTCTCAAGCCCAGGACACTGCATCTGCAGGCTTAACATCTCCTGGTAGCATGCTTGATAATTTTTTTTTCACAAAATGGTTTCATTTTCCATTATAGGAATCTATGAAACCTTTCTTTTTTCTTGGCTGAATTATGCCTCCATTTACTTCATATAAAGGTGTCCTATAGAGCATCTAATTTTATACGTGGTTCACCATGTGTTTTGCTGTATTGAATCTAATTTCCTTTTTTCATTTGGTAATGAAAATGCCAGTTACTAAATCAGAAGATAGAAGCATTTCTATCAGAGAATGGCATTACCAGATAGTAGGTTTTGTATGAGTATCTACATTTGTCTTAGAGTTTGCAAAATGTCACTATACTTTATCAAAGGAATAGAGCTAGTTATATGATGGTGATCAAATCCATGCTTTCTGTTTGTTATTCACCCATTCATTCACTCTTGAGTGCAAGGATTTTTTAAATTAAAAAAAGTAAACTCAAATTTAAAAAGTATTAGTGGTAATTATGAAAGAAATAGAAACAGAAATTAATGTTAAAAGTTTTCCATCCCACATTTCTTTGTGGGAGTTTGCAAAATCTCTGAAAATTAACAGTTTTCTTTGCAAGAAGCCACGCAACACATAATTTGCACTTTTCATATGCTGTTTAATCCACACACAACATTTGGCAGTGATTCATCTCCATGTTTGGACTGTAGCCCAGCCAGAAAAATGCCATCAATGAGTTAGTGAGACAGAGAGAAGCAGGCAGTGACATACAAAATTTGTTAGTGTTGGGGTAGGTTGATCAGCTACAATTACAAATTCATGGAAGGGGAGAGTCAATTTCTCCATCAAGTTGAGTGTAGGAATTTGCCTCTCTCTTTCCATACTCAATTAATGAAAATTGTATTAATGCAGGATTCTGCAGGGTGAGGAGCTGACCACAGAGAACGATATCCTATATCTTCCCTTCCTCTCCTGTATAATCTTTTTTTTTCCTTTTGTGAAACTACTCTCATTCCTCTTTCTTAGTTCTTCCCTTCCTAAGATTGTGTATTAGTTTCCTGTTATTCCCTCCCAATCCAGGAAACATGTAAAAAGATAGTGTGCTGGGAATCTAGCAACCAGTTAACATTCACAATCAACTGGTGGTAGCTTGATTTTTAGGTGATCAGCTGCTGATAGCTCTAATGCTAAGAACAGATAATAGTGTCATAATACTTGTATAGCTCCTGTATATATTGATGTAGGTGATGATACCCTGGAATGCATTATACAGTGTGATTACAAGCTGTCCATGTCTATTGTTCATATATTCATCTCTTGTCAGTGTGCATGCCCTGTAAATCAGGAACTGTCTCTTCTTGAAGAGCAGGCGAAGCTGGCCTTTCTTCTGCACAGTGCTAATGTCAATAATTGGAAGTGGCTTACCTTGCAGGCTTCCCGATGGAGTTAGATAGTTTGATTTCGCCTCGGCACGGTCTCTCTTTACCTCCTCCTCCTCCTACTCAGCACTCAGAAACTCCTCCTCCCCCTCGTGAGAGGCGGGGCTCTACTGGGGCGAAAGGCAACTCGCCCAATCTTCGGGTTACGGGTACATTTCTCAGTCTCTTCACACAGTTTTTCATCACACGCCCCCCTTCCAAGGCAACCACAAACTCAATGGCTCTGTAAAGTAGTTACTGGTATTGCTACAGCCACCTTCAACTTTATGGCATAACCCTTATCAGATCATTTTTTGCCCTCCAAGCACTTCTTCCTTTCATGAAGACTTGTAAATTACTAGTTTGTTTGCATACAACTATAAAATGTGGTTCTCAGCCTTGTAGATGTTCTGTCTTGTGTTATCCTGTTGTCTTGTTAATGGTATGTGTTCTTCCTTGAGATCTGGAATATGGGTTCCATAACATGAGGTCATTGGGGCTTTTTTTTCTCTCTAGCCCAAGGTAGCTTGCCCTTTCTGCACTTTTTGCATTCCTTATTTTACTGTGGAATTCTGGTACCCTTCTAAGGGGAATTTATACTCATAGAAATGGCTACCATAATTTGGACTGATATTAAGTTTTTTTTGTGCATGCACTTGGTTCAAAAGTCTAACAATGTAATTATTTAATGAGGTTTGATCATTTTCACATTTAGAAATAGGTTCATGATGGGGATTGTAGAAGTCCATAGTTCTCATTTCACCTTCATTGTGGTCATTGTGCTTATTGTGTTACACTAGTGATTGCTCTACTCCAGTACAATGCTGAAGCAGTTTTTTGTCATGAACTTCCCAATGGGGCAGTGGCAGATAGATACATTTTTTTGTATCTGAGGGGGGGAGGGCAGTTCCTGTGTTCCCATCCCCTCCCCCCACCTACCACCACCCTCTGTCTTATAGCCTTTTTCATATCTTTGTATGGGGTAAAAAACCTGGAAACCTGAATTTTTTACTTACCCCAATAAAAATTAACTTGTGTGCTTTTTAAATTTTGGCATGGAAAGCAAATTGGCCATAGGGGGTAGTCTGGATCTGCCACTGTAATAGGGCGTATTAAATGGTGTTAAAATTACATCTTCTTACCCATGAAACTGTCACCACTTGTTTGTTGACTTGCTTCATTAAATTTTTTGAGAGTGCTAGCACTGGTAGAGAAATTGTCAGGTGTTGTGTTGTTCAAGCTTGCTCTTGATTTCAAATTCCATTCATTCCAAACATCAGGAACTCTGTTTATGTTCTTGCATGGTCTGAGTTTGCTGAATGTGCATGGAGGTATACTACTCTTGCTTTCACTCAATCTGACTGATGAAAAGGAAAATTGGAGCTGCTCAACTTAGACTGGCTACAGTGGCAGCTTCGGGACATGATACGGGAATTTTTTTTTGAGGTGCCAGGTCCATTTTATCATATTGGGATAGAAGACCTATTGCATCCTGAATGACTGCATGTTTGTTTTACAAGAGGTGCCCTTATTGGAGATTATGGCTTAAGGCCAACAAGGTCTGCCAATGAAGTTCCAGGACTGAATTTTTAAATATTTATGGTGATGCTACATGTATTGCCTTATCACAGATGGATACATTCAGCTGTTGGGTAGCATTTTACAAGTCTTTATCTGACTGGCATCACTAATAAGATAAGCTGGCAAGGAAGAAAGATGTGTGTGAAGTACTTCTTATGTTTCAAGAATTGAGCTAAGAATCAACATGACTTTTTTTCCAAATTGGAAAAAAACTACATCAAAGACACATGAAATTTGGAAGTGCATGGACAGGATGCCTTGTCACATTCCCTGACTTATCAATTGTTTGTAAGGTTTCAAGCCAGTGCAACAACACATCAATGTGCTTTGTAGACAGGCAACTATAGCTAACATTGTCAGACTTCTCTACCAGATTAAAACTTTTTGAACTTGAAAAGTCTGGGGACATGACAAGACATTGTGTTGATACATTTGTTGGACATTTGATGAGACTGATGCAGTTTACCCAAATTTGAAACATAACTTGATGCATTGTACACTGTGTTGCTTCATTTCCAGCCAATCTCATATTGGTAACACCTGTAAGATAAGGACTAGCACAAAACTGCCCAACAGTTCACTATGTCGATCTGTGATGTGGTAATACTTGGTATAATGAAGCTGGTAGTGATATCTCCTAGCTCATAACAAATTTAGTCCTGGAACTTTATTGGGCTACCTTTTAGGTGAATGGAAGTATCTTATACCTTGATTGAGCATAGCAGGGGATAGTTGCTTTGGAGAGCTCTTCAGCCATCAGTGACATATTGGGAATACTTAATGTTAATTTTCGTCATCCACAGCTGTCAAAATTATTCCACAGGTGGTCACAGGAGTGTAATAATCAATTGGCCTGGGGAAAGACACAAGTCACATTCTTCCTCATTATCCACCACCACTCAATCTTCTAGCATGTCCTCTTCTGTCTCCACTGGTGAGTATGACTAAGCCTGTTGTAGTTTAAGATGTTTTAGACCCATTTTCATGTGATAGTCTATGTTTAAGATGTTTCAGATGTAGACCTTCACTTTTCTTGCTTGCCAAGCAACTAGAGCATTCTATTTTTTTTTTAATTTCAGTAATTAGTGGAGGAATTTCTCCACATCCATATCCAAGTGGAAAGTCATCTATGGTTGCTGGTCGTCCAAGGTGCAACTCCATCCTCCATCTCTTTGGCAGCTGGCTTTTTGAAGCTGCTCTTCTTGGAGTCTCTCTTCCTCCAACTCCCACTACTCGTGATCGTGTTCAACGTGAGTTATTTCTCCTTCTCTATTATGTGCATATAACAGAGAATATGATTGTATGATTTATTACAGGTCACGATTCAGTCACTCGTCGTCCTAGTGCTGTGCTTGCAGACCGTCGCATGACAGAGACCCAGGATTTGCCTGAAGATGTCAAGTTGGAAAAATTTGAACTGGGCAGAGCAGAAGCTCTTGGAGCCCTTTGCCGAATATTCTGCTCCAAGAAGACTGGTGAAGACATTTTGCCTGTCTATCTGGCACGGTTCTATATTGCAATTCAGCAAGGTCTTCGAGTATCTGGCGTATGTTTGATATATTTTTGAGGAATATCAACAGTTTTGAGAAAGGTTTTTTATAAAGATTCTTGTTTTGAAGGGTCCAGCCTCACCAGAAGCAATTGCTAGCATACTGCTCAACTCTGAAGACTTCTTCAGACTAGATCTTGATGGTGTGCAGATTTTGTTACCAGATGTGGTAAATGCCATTGAAGCAGTTTTAGCTGTTGAGAAGGAACCCATGTTCAAGTGAGTTTCTTTCTCAGTTGAGGGTATGAGGTTCTACCACTACTGTGCTTATTATGTCTTACATGCACATCTGCTTTTCATTCAGGAGTGGTGCACCTGTCTCAGCACTACGGTCTGCTTCAATCAACATTCTTCTATCTATCCTAAGTGTCCCAATGCATCTTGGTAATTTGAACATTAGAGAACTGCTTCCATCTGTGAGTGGGTCTCTCATCTCAGTAAGAGCTCCCACATTTCTTCATCTAAAGCCCAGGCTCATCAATACTCTCACCACTGCCCTGCAATATGAGACTGATCCAAACAACACAGAAATGCTTCTAGGTATGCCCAGGTTCAGTGCCCTCATTCTATCCTGTTTTAAAAAAATGAAGAACTGACTACTCTGAAATTGCTATTCATAAAGGGGGTCTGATGACATGTGTCCAAGAAGCAGCAGCTTATGAGACACTGCCAAGGAATCGGGACATCAGTGGGTTTGACATACATGTCAGTTCCATCCATTCCGGTTAGTCCATTCTACATCCTTTAATGGAATTTATGGCCTGACTTTATTGTTGCTTGAGTTCAGTTGGAGCTTAAACTGAATGAAAATAAAGCTAACTTTGGTTAAGAATGACTAAGATTAAAGAGTTCAGAAGTCAGCAAAAATGCAAAACTGAATGAATTGCCTAAGCCTAAGGCTGATTTTTGTCTTGGAGTAGATCCTCCAAGCATCCATTCAAGTGAGATGGGAAGCCTGAAAGAGGAGGATTTAGAGAGTCCCCATGGCAGCATGAGCCTTGACCTTGCTTCTATTGGTATGTGTGAGTAATGCTATCATAATCTGGCTACAACCATGATGTTCAATACAGTTGTAATGGTTTTTTACTTTCTCAGACACTGCATCTACTCTATTTGTGAAGGCAACCTATCTAGTGTGTCATAGACTGATCACAGCATGGAAAGGTGATCTGAATGTTTCCCTGGCTGCTCTAGAACTTCTCTGTGGGTTAGCTCGTCTTCATTTCCCTGAACAAGGTGAGTTGCATCTCATGCTATCTTTAATTAATGGAGCGTGATTTTTCCCATTACATGATGTAAATGTTTCCTTTTCAGATCTGCTTGAATGTAAGAGGGCTGTACGATGGCTCTGTGATTACATAGTCTATCAATGTTCCCGTCCCCCACCTGCCCACAGTCGGGATCTCCATTCCTCAATTGTGGCTGCCTATCGATGCCTTTCCTTGTGGCTTCTTCACTATCCTACCCTTCTTCATGATCGTGACTCCCTCAACATTGTTCTGGAGGTTGTAGAACTTGGAATCTCAGGCTCCAAGTCTCGAGTGAGACTCTCAACTGATTACTAGCATGCAAGACATGTTCATTAGTTCTGTACTTTATCATGATCTTATCTGATATGAAATGCCATTTGTTGTTAGACCAAGCTGTCAGGACCTGTGGTCATGAAACAAGATAAAGACCTGAAGCCAGTTTCCATGAGAGTTCGGGATGCAGCTGAAGCTGTGCTATCACTGGTCTTCAATCAGGTATTGATGTCTGGTTTTTTCATTCTTCATTGCAATAGGTCAATATTTGTGCAGTACATATTGAGTAACTGATCGAAAGGGTGGCTCATAAATTGCTTTAGCTGCTCAAAGATGTATCTTAGCATCTTTGGGTTGGATGACCCTGAGTATTGGGAAAATCAGTTCACTACATCATGTGGAGGAGGATTATAGGTCCAACATCATCACTTAAAAGGGACACCAGGCATAGCTTAGAATGGTTGCCAAGAATGGATGCTGTCATTGTGTCATGGTGGACTTTTTGAACAGTATTGCATTTGCACCTATTCCAATCAACATGATGTCCAGCATCATCAACCTCATATAATCCTGCTACCCATGATGTAGCAAGCTGCTCTAACTAAATGAAAGGTCATATGGACTTTAGATGCTGAGATACTAGCTCTGAGTAGCTGAACCAGTTCATTAGTTACTATGTGTTAAGTCACATTTAGTTCATGCTTTATGGTCAGCTCAAGGTAAATGGCATCTGATCATAATTTAATTTCCTTACAGTGTTCTGAGAGGTATTCAATTAGTTTTCTCCTTTTTTTAGGTTGGATATTTCCCATCTCCTTGTGGATCAGAAAGTCTTTCATCTCTCTTGGATGAAGAGTCTCTGGTGAAGCAAGGAAATGTGTATGCAGATGGAGATGGTCCTGTTGATCACAGTGAAGCCGTCCAGTTCTTTCGATACTTTGTTTTGGACAATTCCATTATTCTTGCTCTCCTTGAGGAACCTCTGGGGAATGATCAGGGTCAGCTACATCAAATGCTCCATTGCTGATTATCTTATTAAGTTGCACCTGAATATTCCTTGTTGATAATCATTTCTAATTCATGCAGATCCACACCCTACAGTGACTATGTTGCTCAGGGGTCCATTTGGCCGACTTGCCTGGACCATGCAATTACGACCACTTCCTCGACATAAGTCTGGCCTGAAGACACATGTTTTCAATCCTGGCAGACCTCTCCCTATCTCAGATTTAGGAGTTCACTTTGATTATAAGCCCAAGTACTTCCCTGAAAGTGCAGATCGAATACCATTATGCAAGGCGTAAGTGTCCAAGGCATTCAAATCTACTCCTTCTTCTTCATGGTGCAATTTTCTCATTCTATGACAGTGATAAGGCCATCCCAAGCTTGGACTCCCTAATTGCATCAGATCCTAAGCTCCAACAAAGCCATGCCAAACTGGAAAAAATTTTGGCCAGCCAGATGGCAATGGAAAAGCAGTTGGATGAGAAATCTCAGTCAGTACAACGAGAATATCCCAATCCTGAGACAGAGTGCCGGGCCCCATCAGTGGTCCAGGAATTCCAGACTGCCAGGCTCTTCCTATCTCACTTCAATCTTCTCTCATTAGAGTCCCTCAAGGTAAAGATTTGCAGTGCAGGGCATAATATGTCTATCAGACAGAGAAAGAATACAGGATATTGGGTCTCTCTTTAGAATAAGATGCAGTGGCCGGTTCCTCCACTGTGTGCCCTGAACTCGAAGGAGAGTTCATTTGTGACAGATTTGGAACAGTTGGACTGCATGGGTGATAGAACATTTGACACCATTCATGTCTTCTATGTCAGATCTGGCCAGAAGAGTATCAAGGACATCCTCACTAATGTTGTGAGTATACCTCAAAGTACTGTCAAAAGCATCTAAGTGAAAACTTCATGCTTGTAGGCTTGTAAAAAAGAAGGCAATGTGATGTGTGAAACAATACAATAATGTTATGTATTTGGTGTAGTTAGATGTGTCAAAATGGATTTTTATGGCAAACTTTTGTTATACTAATATCAACTGACTATCATATACTTTTTCAATCAGTTGCTTTCATGGCATGCCAAGATGTCATGTGCGGTTGTGCATCTGGGATGGAGTTTAAAAATCCCAGATACACCACTCATCCGAGAACTACAGTATTTAGGCTTCAGGGGAAGGCAAAGATGCTTTGGTGTACTGTACTTGCAAAGTTTTTTCTTTATTTGTTAGAATTCATTTTATGCAAAATTTTCAAACTAAGAGAATGCTCATTGCTTTCTTTGCCCTGTTACCAATTGCAAGTATAGAGAGAGCCAACCTACAATGTGGCAAGTCCATGATTTATTTTATTGGTTTAAGTCCTTCTTTAAAAAAAGTCTAAATGCATATTGCACTTTTATGAGAAAAATATGAATGAGTTCATATATGTCCTTCAACTCTTCATTAAATTCCAACAACTTTTCAAACATGAAATTGTTGGAAGGATGCTGCTACAGGCCTTCATGAAAGAGTTCTCTTTGTAAGCCACTCTTGTATGGAGTATCCAGAACTCCTTCACAAATCAGCTCTTGCATGCAAGTGACACAGTACACTTCATGTCTCCTTCAAATGTTCCTGTGGAAATTGTGCCACAGGAGTCCAACCGGACAGTTGGGAGGGATTTCCTTGAATTCCTGTATTCCTTGGGGAGTCCAGTCAATGTCCACACTCATGCTGGCTGGACTGGGCATATCAACACTGCCTGGAGGGTGAGAGAGAAACTGGGTGACTTTTCTGGTATGTCAGGGCTATTTCTCCCAGCATGTTGCCAATATCCTTATAAATGGCTATATCCTTTGAATTTTCTGTTCAGGATCAGAAGAGAAGAAAACTCATGGAGGAATGTTGTACAATGGAGAGGACCAGGTTCTGTATTGGGCTGATGCTGTGAGTGAGATTGCATGTGTCATTCCATCAAGGAAGCCCAAGTTGCCACATGTCCCACATCAGGCCTCTGCTGAGATTTCTCAAGGTGACTCTTTGTCATTAATTTCATTTCTTAATATTCATTTTTTCCATCCTTTTTTCTTTGCATTTCTTCTTTAACACGTTTGTTGCTGATGATGCACAAAAAATGATAAAGTTGCTCGGGTGAGAACCTGTTAAATGGCCTTGATGCTTTTGAGTACCTTCCTTCTGTCATTCATCTGTCATTCATCTGTATTTCATATTCTTCCATCTGTCTCTCTTTCTCTTAAGTATTTTTTCAAAGGAGGAATAATTCCCTCTCACCATCTGAATGACCTATCTTGGAATGTCTTTCTAATGACATTTCCATTTTGTAAATGGAAGTCCATCATTTTTTACACAGTATTGAAGCAGGGCTCATCAACAGAGCGAAGTCGAGCTCAAAGTCTGGACACGGACTCACAAAGCTCAGGCTTCTCGGAAACAGAGACGCAAGGAAGCAATCGGAAAGGAGCCAAATTAAGGACAGAAGCCCTCATTACCACCAAGGTCTTGGTTGCATGGATTGAGAACTTCCAGGATGTTTACACACTACCCATTGGTAACCTATGAATTTTTTTCAAATCAGCTGCATAGCATAGCAACCTCATGAAAATTAAATTGTATATTGTTTTTTTTTTCTTCAGGTGACATGGTGTCAATGTGCAGCACAGGATTGGAACCCCTTGGCTTTTTTCAGTCACCACAGATGTGGGAAAAGCTGACCACAGTGATCTGCATTCATCCACTTCAGACTGGCCTCTATCGGGTTCACTTGCAAGGGAATATTGGGAAGTAAGTTGGCTTAATTTTTCATTCTTGGTTCATTTGCTTTGAATGGTGCAACTAAAGTATAGTACTCACATTTCCATCAGGAGCTTGGTTACTCCTCTGGTTGATGGGATGGTTGTCAGTCGCTGTGCATTGGGTGCCCTGGTGAGGCAGACAGCCTTGAACATTGGGCATCGGAGATGGCTGGAAGCCGATAAGTAATAAATGCTTCAAACTTAATCCAATCAGTCCTAATATGTTGTATTCTTTAATTGACTATTGTCTTCTGATTGCAGCTGCTATCAGCCTCATGTTCGTCGGAGGCTCAAGATTCAAGAGATGGTGCAGAAATACTGCCTGAAAATGGACACACCTGAGTTCCTCTCTCATCTCTTCTGCTCCACACCATGAAGTCAAGGAAAGAAATGCTCTAAAACCAAAGATGACTGTATCTTTAGTGGGATAGTACAGCCTCCCAGTTTCTCCGTCCAGCCTCTTCTCTACCTTTTTCATAGTGTGATTCCTAGAGGTCTGTTTACTGTTATATCTCCATGGACATGTTTCTTTGCCCTGTGACAATTTTGTGATTCTGCACAATTTCTTGTCTTTTTTCTCTATTCTATTTCCCTCTTTTTGGTTTTCAAAGTCAATAATTCCTCTTTGAGTGCTATTTTCAACTGGATGTGATATTCATGAGCAGTTTATGTCTCACCATTCCAATTCAAAGTGCTTTTCATATCTCAGGATGGGACTATGTTTCAGTGAAAGATTCATGTCACTAGGATTCTCTATCATCTGTTGACATTCAAAGAGAGCCTTAGATATCTTTATATTATTCCACACTTGTTGAAGATTGACGATGAATAGATACTATGGAGATTCGTCATATCAATTTGAATCTACTTCTTGCCTCCTTATTTTCTTGTATGTTCATTCACCTGTGCTTTTAATTGGTATGATGGTGAAAATGGACAGAGAGTTCATTTCTGGGCTTCATCTTGCCCTATCACCTATGGTACAGGTTATGGATAATTTGTCCATCCTAATGGAAAAAATTGGTTTCTTTGTTATCTGCATTTATTTTTTTTCTTTAGGTTCTTCCTTAGTAAGCCAGGTGGGTATCATGAGTTCAATTGGAACAGGGGTGAGTTCCTCCTCGTCATGACTCATGGTTTTTCTTGTGAGATTCTAACATATTAGAGTTTTTTAAGTTCTAAGTGACCACTGGGAAATCAAGGGGACCTAATTCAGGTCTACTCCTTCTCTTTTCACAGTATGATCTATCAGCCTCCCAATTCTCTCCTGATGGAAGGGTGTTTCAAGTTGAGTATGCCCAGAAGGCAGTGGAGAACAGCGGGTAAGAACTTCACAGAGTGTGGGTTGATCCTTGTCATGAAATACTGTTAGAATCCCCTTCGTAATTTGGTCTACAGAACGGCAGTAGGCCTCAGGGGAAAGGATGGGGTTGCCTTTGCAGTTGAAAAGCTTGTCACCTCCAAACTTTATGAACCTGGAGCCAACAAGAGAATTTTTCATGTGGGCAGCCATGTGGGCATGGTAAGATAATTGTTGCCTTGTATCTGAGCATGGTAAGATACTCATTGTCTAATATAGAGGCTTTTCTAGTTACTTGTATAAAATTCTGAATTTGTGACAGGCAGTGGCAGGTTTGTTGGCAGATGCTAGGCAGGTAGTTGAAATTGCTCGCACTGAAGCTGCCAATTACCGATCAGACTATGGCAATGACATCCCTGTGAAGGTGAGGTTCAAAAGCTGCCCCAACACTGGTAGATTGCTGTCTATTGGTTTTCTTGTATGGCTTTTGTTTTTGATAGCATCTGACCAATCGAGTGGCAATGTACATGCATGCATACACATTGTACAGTGCTGTGAGACCATTTGGATGCAGCGCCATGCTTGGCTCCTATGATCCTCACTCGGGACCTCAGCTCTTCATGATTGATCCTTCAGGAGTCAATTATGTATGTTCCCATGATGTTTGTATCTTTTAAATTTATTCTAAGGAGAACTGCTGTACCTTGGTTTTGCATTAATTCCCATTAGGGATACTATGGATGTTCAATTGGAAAGGCAAAGCAAGCTGCCAAGACAGAGATGGAAAAAGTGAAGCTTTCCAATCTTTCTCTGAAAGAGTTGATCAAAGAAGCAGCAAAGATGTGAGTTGTCACCTGGATTCATTAATCTTGAAAATATCAACACACATTTAATCTAAATTTCATTTGTCCCTCTAGCATCTATGTGGTCCATGATGAAGTGAAGGATAAGCACTTTGAACTTGAGCTCAGTTGGGTTGGGGAAGGTGAGTGTCTGACATAACTTGTTACAGACACAACAGTACCAAATTTTGTTTATTGAATATATATAAATTTGCTTGGTGCTTTACATTACAGCAACGAATGGGAAGCATGAGATGGTTCCTGAACCAATGTTCAGGGAGGCAGAGATGTATGCCAAGAATGCACTGAGAGAGTCTGACTCTGAAGGGGAGATGTAGCAGCCAAGATAATGTATCTCTTTGTGCACTCTTTGTACACTCTGTGATCTTACTCTCCAAAATAAAGGCTGTTTTTTCAATCTTTTCCCTGAAATTCTATTGGGGCTATTGCAATACTGTCTACAAAGAATATATTGTTATCACACCTGTACCATCACATGACTTTTTATGGTTCTTGAAAATTCAATAGCTGTTTGCTTTTTTACATGGCATGTGATCTTTCTGCTATGATGGTTTTAGGTTCCTTGATTCTAAGTCCTTTGTTGTTTCAATTTTTGTAACACCATGGAGGATCCAATGTACTGCACAGATATGCACTGTTGCTGATGGGCTCAGTGGAAAATGGTCTCTTATGGATTTAAAATAAATCCTTGTTGTTACAGAACTTAGGGATAAAAAATTAGATGGCTGTAGGTTTAGAAGGCTCCTTGGCCTCATATTAAATTTAGAACATTATTTGCTGCTGAATGTATGCAATGCATTTCTATTGCACTATATCTATTTTTACAATGCATTTTGTTAGATTTAAAACTACACAATTGTAATAGCCCCAGTCTAAATTAGCTCTTTTTTTTTACTGCTTTTTTTTACTTGGACTTAGCTGTGGGTTGAGGACTAGGTAAAAGCAGTATGGGACAGCCCTTGCAAGAGCAGGGACTGGGAGAACTGCAAACTTCCCTTTTTCCCCTAATACTTAAGTTCATTTATGACAGCAAAGAAACTACAGATATCAACATGCCTTAAACAAGTTCGCATTAGACTTAAAAAGAAATAATAAAAAAAGGGGGGGGGCCTGTTGACTTCTGTTCAACTCTTTGCATAATGCACTAGTTTTATGCTAAAATGCACTAATGCTGTGCTGGTTGGTTGATGTGAATGAGCTGTTACTTTTTTGCAACAAAGTTTGATTAATGAAGTTTCTGATATTGACATGATGTATAACTTACATACATGCATTCTTTGGGCATTATTGGAAAGCAACACTAAAGTGGAAGGCATTAGAAGAGAAGAGCTCTAACTCTGTCATTCCCAATATAACTCCATTCAGCTTTCTCACATTACAAGAGCCAATTGTTTGGTATGAGAACTCAAGTATAGGGTGCTTCCAAAATACTGACCCTTTCTTTTTTTAAATAATAATGGAGAGGTTAAGTATTCATGCAAGTACTTGGAGGACATCTTGGAGATTTATTCCATAGTATAACTGATATCAACAGATGTGCCATATTCTGTCTAGGAGCAAGAGTACTTGGTGAAGAAGTCCTATCAAAGTCAGGGTAGTAAAGTGGAAACTCAGATTTATTTTCAGATTGAATTCAATGTCAGAGAAACTCCCATCAAAAAACACTATCAAGTCAGGCTGTCAACAACTCAATGTGTCCTCGATGTCCACATACAGAATGCTCAGCACAGATGTTCAAAATTACTTGTACAAAGTGCAGCTTCACAATCCTCTTCAATGACTTGACAGAGATTTGATGGGTTGAATTTTGTTCAGCTTTCAATCAATTGATGAAAGACCACCATGAAGCCTTTGAGCACATCAGGTTTATGAAGGAAGCCCACTTCTCCGTTGATGGTTATGGCAGGAAGCAGAACATGAGATTATGGGCATCAGAGAATTCCCATTACATTGTTGATGGGCCACTCCATCTGCAGAGGGGCACTCTCTGGTGTATGCTGCCAAACATGGGTATAGTGGGCCCCATGTTCATGGATGCTATGGTGAAATTCTTCACAATGAACACTTGTTTTTGCACTGAATATGTCATATATGTTGATATTGGTTATAGTACTGAATGAAACTCCAAGATGTACTCCAAATACTGCCATGAAAATCAAACTTCTACATTTCTTCTTTTAGGAGATATTAAAAAAAGAAAAGGGACAGTGTTTTTAGAAACATCCTGTATATGGAAGTGGAATCTGAAGGTTTAAAAGCAAATGCAAGCACCCCATCAATCAAGAAAGTTCAGTCCCCTTCATGAATGCTCCATGTTCAAGTTTCTTATGATGTTTCTTCTTGTTAACCCAGGCAAATACTATTATTTTCCATCTATGCATTTGGAAAACTCAAAAGAGGCAAAAACATTTTGGCCATGAGAGCCCTACTTTTCAAATATGCCCTTTGATATAAATTTCTTTTATGCATCAAGAGGTATCTATGAAAACAAACTAACTTTAAAAGACCTAAAATCAGAGGACTGGGAATTTGATTAGTTTCTCCATGAATGTAATACAGGCCTGGAAATAACCTATTTATTTTGAGATTTGCACAAAAATATTCAACTGGAGAGTAAAGAGGCTGAATGCATTCATTAATAAACATGAATGTAAATGTAATGTAACATGAAGTAAAGACATCCCAACTGGATGGATATTTGCACTTGAGATACACTTTATTGCCAAAAGTCAAAGCCCAGCCCTACAGATAAAGGTTTTCATGGTGTAACATCACTGTGAGACTCAGTAACCATGTCGTGTGGGAGACAAGTTTAGGAAATCCTTGTGATGTCACATGGGAGTCTCTCTTAAATGGGGCTCAGAAGTGGCTTGGTTTGTAACTAACTCCCATGACTGGGGACCTGGGTTCAAAACCAAGCAAGTCAGGCATTTATTTCCTAGTGCAAGTTCCATCTTGAGAAGTGGAATATTGTATTAAAGAACCCCAGCGATGAAGGCCAAAATCACATGTAAATGTAAAAAATTTATAGGTTATTTAGATTAGATGAGCTAAGAGGATGGTGGGGTGAGTTTTAGGGATTTCTGAGTGACAATGAATGCTATGCTATGAACAAATGTTGCCTTGCCTTACAAGTCTTCCTTGGGAAGAGCAAAATCCCAATGTAAAAAACTATTCCTTTCCTTGGGCAATTTTCAGTGTTTGCAACAGCTGGGCTTTTGAGTAACCTTGAGAATCATGTTTGTCCAATTCTCTATTTGCCTGCTGATTCAGTGGCCTCATTGCTCTTTATTTCATCGTTATTTGTTTTAACTCTTATTTGATTCATCCTTATCAATAATTGCATCAGTGAGATTGGAGCTGGCCTGACAGTAAGATCCATGTATAGATGCAGTACATGCTCCTGTATCATCCATTTCAAGGGTTATGCCAGATGAAGCATGGAGGACCAAGGAAAGCAAAGGGACTACATAATTTCTCAGGATTTTTTTCTCATCATGATATCCTTTATTAGCAGTCCTTCAGGAAATGGTGCGAGCAGAAGTGTGCTGTCTTTGGTATTGTGTGGACACTTGAAACTTAAAACATCCATTCTCTTCTTCTTTCAAGAGAATTTGGAGAGGCACGAAACTCCAACTTCTCTATTCTGCTGTTATGATAGGAAGCCCCATAACCAGAAACCATGCTGGTTTTTCCAATTCTTTTACCCATAAATCAAACCACCAGTGAGCAGAAATAGCAAGAAGCTAAGAGTGACAATGAGGGAATACCAATGGATGAGGAAGATTATGGTAGGGAAGCTGGGGGAGGCAGCAGAGCACATAGGAAGGCTATCTACCTTTGGACAATGCAGAGAGAGAGAGGTATTGTCCTTCTGCCTTGACTACTAAAGAGTGTTGAAGGAGTACCTGTGGCCCCTTATATGTGCATTCTTGTGACATCACTCTGCATTCATGCATATTCATGACCTCCTCAATGCCAAGGGTTGGTACATGTGCTTTTCAATCTACTGAATATCCAGGAGCATGAAAAGTTGCATCATTTATGATCACCTGGAACTCAATTTTTTTAAATTTATCTTTGTATTACTAAAAATATATTCCCTTACTCATGCAAAAAACCTCTGCCATCAGGAAAGTGATGTCTCTAAACATACAGTATTTAAAAATCGATATGATAATTTTTTACCCTTGATATTGGCTTTTACAAGACAGGTACATAAATTAGGATGCACTGGAGAAAATAAGACAATATGTTTGTGCTTCCCAACAAGCAACACTTAGGCTGATGATCCTCCTTTGAATTTCGATGCTTCATCAAGAATCCTTCATAATAGGATCCCTTTATTGACTACCTTAACCACATTAACCTCAGTTATGCATATGTGGATCTCATTAGCTGTTTCTTTAAAATGCATATTATGCCAAATGAATTTTTGGATGAATTGGAAATAATTTCTTTTGCAATCAATGTTGTCTCGGAATCTGGGAAAAGCAGAGAACAATCTGAATATGATTTGCATGTTTGCAATCTGTCAAGGTATGTTATACATAAAAAGATGAGTTTCTGGAGACTTCAGGTGCTGGGGCTGAAGAAGTTATGAGCATAATGTGCTAAGTAAAAGAAGACTCATTTTGTGTTATTTTTCAGAATACCATACTTGATCATTGGTACTGTGGTACTTCCATGTGACTGGTGACATGGATTTCAAAGTTGGCATGAGATATGCAAGATTTACATGATCACACTTCTTGTGATTGGAGTGTAGGGCATGAGCCTTGTCACCTAATAAGATTCCAGAATTTCTTATACAGCTGGTGTTTGACACTTCTAGTGAGAGTAGGATGCTTTTCACTCAAAGAAACACGAATCCTGCCCATGAATATTATCATTTACTCTGTCCAAGAAATCACTGAATGCATGGTTCTGACAGGAAAATACAGTGCTAAATTTTTCAGTGAATTCTTTCAACTCGATCAAGAAATCTTGACTCCTAAGAATTGGCTGATGTCTTCAGTGAAAGAGCTCATGATAAAAATAAACCCTACCCTAATTCTGAGTGGGTCCCAAATGCACTAGGTTATTCAAAAGATGTCATAGCTTATTGAGGATGAAGGTAGATCTGAGAAGAGTGGATGAAGACATTTCTGAGGTTTCTATTCCTGTTGGGGACACCATCCTTGGACGAGGACCTTTGCTTCAGGTCAGGGTAACATGCTGGTTGATCAGAATTACCCCCCATTACTCATAGTAGTTCCACTACAGTAGAAAATTCTGTTAATTTCTAGTGCAAAGATGTTAAGGTGTCAAGACATCATGCTCTCCTGCATGTTTCCGAGGATGGGAAGATCTCCCTAAAATCAGTAAGTAATGGAATTGACTGACTTCCATCTCATTAACAAAATTCCTCTTTTTGATGTTGTTCATGCTCCTTATGTGCAGTTTAAGAAAGGGGGGATTTAAAAAAAAATGATTTTCGTGGGATGCTTATTCTGTCCAGATTCACCAAAACCCATGTTATCTCTTGCATGGCAGAGATATTGAGAAGGTCCTAAAAGAAGGAGATAGTCAGGAATTGAAACCTGGGACACGCTTTTCTATGCTCCCTAATTCCTTCATCTATGACGTGATTGTGAGAGATGAGAATTCCCCCACTCTTCCACTTGATGACCTGGATGGAGATGGGGAGACAACTGAAGTACGGGTAAACTTACCTCTTGTGGAGTGCTCTCCACTGAAAAGGAAAGATGATCATGAAAATACAAACACTGGTCCTGCTACAACCAAAGAAGTTGTATCTGCTGAACCCAGTACATCAAAGGCAGCAGGCATGATTACAGATATTGGAAAACAAGGTGAAAGATGGATTGCATCCACAGATAAAGGCAAAGTCATTCCTTCTGGCTTGAACACAAACAAGCTTAGACAGTTGCCAGACTGGTGTAAAGAACTTGGTGGTTCCAAGAAGAGTGAGGAGTCCTTAGTTGCTAGTCCAAGGAAGGGAGGCCCTGTGAAGCGCAGCAAGCCATTGACTGTGACAGGGAACACCAAGAAGAGAAAGAAAATAAAGGAAGATATCAGTGATGAGGAAGAGGAGGAAAAAGGAAATGCACTTAGAGAGGAGGAGCTCAATTGTGTGAAACAGAGCAGGCCAAAGGCAGCAGGAGAAGATGTTAAGAGGAGAAAGAAAATCAAGGAAGACATTGATGAGGAGGAGGATGGGACAGCACCAAAGGAGGAGCCCATTGCTTCATCATCTAAGCCGAAGAGGGAGCCCTGCATCTTTGGGAGTAAATGTTACAGGTCTGCACTGAACTAAATATTCTATTATTTTAAATGCTAAAAATAATTGCCCAGCAAACTGACCAGTCATTGTGTGAAACATCCAGATTCCCATTAGTTTGGTATAGTCATATTTTCATGCAGGAAGAATCCAGTCCACAGAGAGGAATTCAGTCATCCTGGAGATTCAGATCATTTGTCTGAAGAGCAGAAGGATTCTCAGGAGGAAGGAGTTGAAGATAGCAATGATAATGAAGGTGATGATGAGAGGCCAGAATGTGAATTCGGAACCCTTTGCTACCGTAAGAATCCCCTTCATGCCAAGCAGTACAAACACACCCATACGCCCAATCCTCCCAGGCAGGCCAAAAAAAAAGGTGAACGATCATCCTGTGCTTTTGTGAGACTTGATTTGTTTTGTGATTATTGGTCTTGGCAAGGACTGTGATTATTAAGTGTTACTTGAATAACAGGTCAGAAAAGGCAAAAGCAAGAGGAGGATGATGATGGAGAAGATGATTATGATTATGATGATCCATTCCTGGCCAGTGATAGCAGTGAGGATTATGCACCAACTGATTCAGATTCAGATTTTGATCCAGAGGAGGAGAAGGATGATGAGGAAAAAGATACTAGACGCATGCTAAAAGAGGCCAAGAGGTTTATTGGTAACAAGAAGCAGAAGCATGCATAAGTTCCTGATGATTTTTTATGCTGATTATCATCAGAGGAGAAGTACTTCAGGAGCAGAATCATGGGATGTTTGTCACTAATGTGTTGTATTGAATGCCTTCATTTTTTCACAACCAATGCACTTGGCCACCTCTTTCATCTTTTTTGTGATGCTTTTTCAATACACAAATGTTTAACGATTTTCCAATTGCATCTTTTCATTTGATAAGTCTCATACATAGATGATGATATGCCTACTGGCCTACTTGGAATAAAACTAAGCACACTAAAACAAAGAAAGATTATTCATGTAGTATGATAACTACAGGGTGATTCAAAAGTAACTCCCTAACTTGTTTTCTTTATATTTCCACAGATTTTGAATGTTTCAAGGTGAAATTAGCTCATATGATAGTTAAGTGGTGGAAAACTTTTTTGAAACACCAAGCCTCCCGTTTCTGGGCTTGGAATGGCAGAAGGCTACTTGGTTTTGCAGTGGTGCAAAATGGCTCTCTGGATGGACAAATTTGGTTCAGTGACTCTTAAGCAGTGCGAATTCCAAAGGCATTTTGAAGTTCGCGACGCTCCTGATGCCAAAATCATACGAAACACACAATACATTTGTAAAAACTTGTGGAACCCAGGAGTGTTTTGTGAGCATGAGTGCAATATGCTGAAACTAAATGTTTGGTGTGCTCTTACTGCAAATGAATAATTGAGCCTTTTTTTCAAACATGATATGATGGACAAATAGCAAATGTCAATGGTAAAATTATCATGAAATGTTCCAGATCTTTGCTATTACTCAATTAGAGCCCATTGACCTCGATGAGATCACCTTTCAACAGAATGGGGCTCCACGTTGTTGCACATGCATGCTGTTATACAAAAAAATATCTGCCATCCCTCCTGTGTTATAAAAATTGGCACTGCTTACCTGAAAACAATAGTTAACATCAGAAAATGTCAAATCATGATAACTATTGAAGATAGCAGTTACTTGCATAAATAGTGGTGAAATAACCTAAAAATAGTGAATGGTCTGAGCCCAAGAACATACCTGGGCTACCAGTACATAAGCCTGAATAAGTACTTGGGCAAACAGCCATCCTAACTGATGAATTGGGAGACGTGGTCCAACTCCCTGGGCTCCTTGGTCACGTGACCTGACTTCTATCAACATTATTTCTGTGGGACTGTGTAAAATGTATGCTAGTCATACAATTTTAGCAGATATGGAAGAACGCATCAAGACTGTAACGCAGGAAAGTTTCCTAAAGATGTTGTCCTAAGTTGCAAATGAGGTTGTTTGGAGGTGGCTGGATTGAAATTGGTTTTGCATATGTGGAAGTGTTGTGAAGGTTGTGAAGTTAATTTTCTCATATTGAAACAAACTCCCATTAGGGCTCTGAAGGATGATGGATTTGGTTTGTGTGAATCTCTTTCATTCTTGAATAAATTAATTTTTGATTCACCCTGTATTTCATACCTTCTTAGCCCTTCAAGCACTGAGTTTTAAATTCCTGTGTACATCCTCAGGCATATATTAAATGCATGAATAGGAAGGCTTTCACTCGCATTGTACTTTTTATTATATGCCATACAAATCTCATGAGAAAATGTGGAATCATTTTTCACTTCATATTATTCTTGGACAGGTAACTACGAATATTTTCAAATGCTTTTTTTTCAACTCTTTGGAAATTCAATGCTTTTCAAGGAAGATACTGCTTAAATGAAAGTCGACCCTTCCACAGTGTCTGAGACTCATCAATTCTCAAGAAGTATCCCAGAGGTGCACATACTACTGTCAGAGAACTAAAAAAAACAAACAGACTGAACACATAGTCCTTAGTGCGCTCGATATGCCGGTTGAAACAGAACAAAAATCCGTCCACAGATGACAGAATTATGCCCTTGCAATTAGGTGAATGCAGAGAATGTACAACATACGTGGATACGCCCTACTGGCAGGTGGTGACTATCGTATGTTGTACATGAGAACGGCTTTAAGGGTTAACATGTTAATCACCAAGGGGTAAAACACTGGTCTCATCTGTCGCACCATGTGACATGTCAGTGTGTTACATGGCAATTAACATGTTAACCCTTTGGCAGGTGGGTTTTGCAGCAGAGCCTACATGCCCAAGGTGAGTTTTGGGGGGTTTTGGGGGTAATTTTTTATTATTCATAACCATCAAAGTAACCATGTAGCTTCACTCCAAAAAGTTTCCATTTGAAAAAAAGGTACAAGAAGCTTGATATAGCTTTAGTATAGCTTTAAGAGGGTTAGGCCTACCCTAAAATTAAGGAACGCAGCTGGAACTGTGCACTATAGCTTTACGGCGAAATCGCCTCTTGATATCACTAACTCTCTTGACTCTTTAAGAATATTTTTGCAAGCTTAAGTTCTAAAATCCTATAAGCCCAAAAAATCACAATAACTTTATAAGTTATAGCAATTAAAGAAAATAGGTATTAGGTATAATAAATCTGCACCTGTTGTGCAGGAGAATAAGTATGGGGGGAGAGAATCAGAATAAAGATGACAACATCAAGCAGAAAGGAGAGAACACAGAAATATACAGTGTGACTGTGTGGAAAGGATATTTGAAAACAGTTGTATCCATTAGTGCCTGCCAAAAGGGTCAAGAGGATCAACTCCATTACTAGTTAGGTACTGCCCAGAGGACCTTTTACAAAGGTGTTGGCTGGATCCAGCCTGCAGGTTAGTCACCCATGCAGGACTGAGTGCCACAAGAGAAGTTAAACAGAAGAAAGGTTAAACACAACCAAAGGAGCTGGTTGTAAACATTGTTTCAAGAATCACTAGTTCATCTCCTAGTGTCCACCATTCATGTCTCAGTATTGTTGCCACCTTGGTAGTAGCCTAGAACATGTTGCTAGACATTGCCCTATGTTATGGATTAAACCACAGCACAAATTCAAGTTCTAAGATCCTGCAAGTTGCAAACCTGGCTTCTGTTAATCTACAACTAGATGAATCCCAACAAAAAAAAGTCCATTGCATCAGCTCTGTCAAGTAAACCTGAAATTTAAAGGAAATTTATTGTTTTTCATAAAAATAGATCGAGACTTTATGTACACCTATTAAAAAAGGAAAAGGCTGGACCTGGCCTGCACACCATGGGTTGCCCACATTTGCTCTACACCAACAGATGGGTGGAGAGAGAGAATTGTGAAGGTCACACCAACTATAGTATGGATATAATGCACTGGCCATGAGAATCTTTTAAGAGATTTTGTAGCAAAGTTATGTTGTTTGCAATATTTACTCCATCTTGCCAGAAGTTTGAGGGTTGCTTCTATAGCAACAGCATCATGTATGATCTTCAGGTATGCTTGGATTCCATGCCATTCAACAGTTCAACAACATTCAACAACATCTCCCTGGCCCTACAGTAATTGTTGTACTTTACTACCTTTGATTATTATCATACCTTGTTTAGGAATTGATATTCAAGGGGAAGGGGTATTACCCCTTACCCTGCACATCTCTTTGCCACAAAATTCTTCAAATGCAGCCACTTGTTTTGGTTTGTTTCATACTTGTGCTTTTCCCCCCATTTGAGTTGTGACTAGAAAGTTAATGTATAGAAGGGCTTTAAAATTTGAAGGGAGGTGTATTGAACAGACAAGAAAGTTTACTGTCTGCTACCTGAGGAATTGCACCTATACCAATATACTCACACATGAGCTTGTGGTTAAATGTCTTAGAGGCCATGCTGAACATCTCTTCCTTGATGTTATTCTTTTTAGGGCACTGGCCTTTCATTACAGGTTTTTTTTTACTTATTAATTAGAAAAAATTAAGTATCAATATAAAACACTGCTCTAAAGATCTTCAGATTTTCATTATATTTTCTTAGGAGGTGGATGTAGGTGAAGTCTAGTGTCTCTGAAGGGGTCAAAAGTTCCCTCCCTATCCATATGAAATTTCAATGTTTTGGTATAACAGAAATGGATGAAGTATCAATAGACTATTTGAAAAATATCAGTCTATGCATGTTTTATGAAATCAGTTTCAGCAAAAGCAGAGATGTATAGCCTTAAAGTTGGTTGAGAGGGGTGTCTTTTTTAAGATTATCCTGTAGATATTCTGATGTAATTCCTAAATGGCTCCACTTACTGTCCACATGCTTCTGCTCATAGATGCTAAATTTGAGGCTCAATCATAAAACACTCTTTTAACCATGAGATAAAAAATTAATTCTTTATTATAAAAAAAAAAGGAGTCAATTGGGCAAAGAAATATTTCAACTTCATTTTTCAGCAGGTTGTACTTTTGCACCAAAATTTCCAACAATGATTTACTTCTTTGGGTCACTTTTAGTTGGGGGAGCCCCAGCTACTTTGAGGTTGGAAAACACAGTTGTCACACCCTCAATATTATAAGGATTGGAATCTGAAGGATCACTAGAATCAGACTCTGATGAATCCTCGCAGTCAGAATCACTCTCGCTGGAACTGGAGTCACTCATCACAGGAACTTTTGGTCGATTTGGATTCTCAAAGAGGTCACTCTCAGAATCGCTTGTGCTGCTTGAATCATCATCTTCATCCTCACTGCTGCTCTGCCCTTTCTTCATATCTCCAGCTCCTACTTCTGGATCCTGGATGAATTCAGTTGGCCTGAAATGAAAAAATGCAGTAAGTGAATTTCCACCAAAACCACAGAATTTTACTTTTTACTACAACTGCCTCAAAAAGTAAAATCACCTAATTTCTCACATTATGGCATTCAGCAGTTAAGAACTTCTGGTTTCTACACAATGATCTACTCAAAATATATATTCTCAAAGCACCCACCAGAGTCCTTCTTCTTGGATATGCTTGATTTGATCCTTGTATAAGATGTTGGTTATTTCAGCCTTTACTTTATCTCCTTCAGGAATAGGCTCCACCACAACAAAATCTCCTCTCTTGATCCATACATTCTTTCTAAACTTTGGTGGCATAGAAACCAAGAATAAACTGCCATCTGGGGCCTCTACTTCATGCAAGTTGTTTCCACGCCCTCCCACAACCTGCACTCAAAGATCAAACACCTGTCAATTGCCTTACCAAAAAAAAAAAAAAAATCCTATGGGGAAGAGAGAGCATAGAAAGTGAGACATACCTGAACAATCTGTTGATTCCCCTTTGGGAGAGAAAAATCTTCAAGAACCTCCTTCACGACATGCTTCCTCTTGGTTGTCTTTGACATGATCTGATCAATACCTGGGACATATATGTCTGTCCAAAAGCTTCTTCCTCTCACAATACTAATGGGAATACGCATAACACTTTAAAGAAGAATGTGGTGATTTTATTTCTCTATTAAATAGGTTTGAAAGAAGCTGAGCATTTCATACATATATTTCGTTCTAATACAAATCTGAATAGTTGGAATTGTGGTCCACCAGCAGTGAGGAGACACTTCCCTGAGCTGCATCACAAGCAACTCAAGCCCAAAAAAAAAGAAATAGGACATTGAAAGTTCATATGTTTCAGCATGGGCTTCAATGGGGAAAGAATGCAGCTGTTATTTCTGGAAAAGATGCTCTCCATACTTCATTCACCAGAGAAGCACGTGTGGAAATCTACTATGATCTTTCATCATGTCTGTGCCTTTTCTTTTGGTCACAAGTATAGATGCAAGTCTCTGATGGCCATAACATTGTGAAATATAATTATTTAGAAGTCATACACAGGTATGAAATGATTCCATTCATTCACTGAGAAACAAGGTATCACAGATATTTCAAGCAAGTCCAATACAACCTAGAATTACTACAAAATCATAGGTTCTCAATGCCGTAGATAGTAGTCAATGGCAGTAGAAAAGAGGGCAAAACCAATGGCTCCTATTATGCCAGGCTTGACTCCAGCTATGGGGGGAGAAGAAAGCATTGATAGAATAAAGAAAAAGTTCAACTCAGAAGCAAAAAATTAATCAGTCTAACCTTGAGGAAATCAGTTTTGAACATTTTTGAAATTTTCTAAAAACAAATGACTTTAAGTATTTCATAACACTACTGTCAGTGTCACTACTGTCAATGAGTCCTGACTGTTTTTCTGCATAATTTATTTCTGCTTTTAAAGCTTATTGCTCTATTTGCCAAGTACCCAGAACTTAAGAAAAAACTTAGTCAGGGATTTAATTACTTGTCATTTGAATCCTTCAGATCTGTTATGCAATGGTTGCAATAAGCAAAGACATAGGCCTATTGGTAATTGTCCTAGCTCACCTCGGAGTCCTATGATCCCTCCTGTGACAGCTCCAGCATATGTACCATTCTTCAAATCATCACATCCACGATACTAAAAAATTAAAAAAAAGAGGGGGGGTTAAAATCTTCTGATATACCAATTGACCTTTCTCCCAAATTCTGCATAAATGGACTCACTGTTTCTATGGTGCATTCCACAGCAGAAAACATTGCTCCAATAAGTGCAAAATTTTTTGCTTGAGTCAGAGTTGAGTGTTTCATATCACGTAGTACTTCTCGAGCAGTCTGCTGCTTTGCATCAACACCAGTGATGGTAGGATTCACACTTGCTGTGAACAAGCCCAATGCTGCCCCCAAACCATAGCCTTATGAAAAAACAGCACAAATAATGAATTACAAGGTGACTCGGTATCCTTTCACTGATAGTTGTATGAAGTCAGGATGGATATATTTCCATTTTCCTATGTACCATAAAAAATTAGCCAGTAAAATTTTCAATTCAATAAAACAACAAATTATCAGTTGGCATTTCTACCCATAACACATAAGAATAATAAAGATTTTCCATTAAGAATACTATAGATTCTAAAGATATTGTGATGAAAAACAAATTTGGAAGGTGTTTAAAAATGTAGCAATAAAACCATCAAAACACAACATTTTATGACACAATTCCTTATCTTGGGGAAGTTTTTGCAAAAACTGTTGCTGAACCTTTGATATTGATATTCTTTGTGAAGTCCACATCTCACAATGTTTCAGAAACCTTGTTGAAATTGTGTACATGAGATTTTGTTATCCATTTTGGGTTGCTGAAACAAATTCAAAACAAGGTAATGACAATTGTTCACAGTTATTGCGATTACAGTTGTCAAAAAAATATTTCCCTCCTATTCCTACTACCAAAGACAGACATAAATTATAAAAGGCCAATGTGTTTCTTGCCAACAAAAGCTCAAGCTTTGGCTACGAGTTCATCATTGACCCAATGGCAAGCAGTTGCATGAATATTATCACCTTCACAGTTCAAGGCCATCACAACCCCAAAAAACCTAATTTTTAGATATTGCATTTTAAACTTTTTGTGCAACATTATCAAAAATGATAAAATCCCTTTTACAAAATTCATGTTATGCATATACAGTGGAAACTGGTTAAGTGCACATTGACCAGGCAAGAAAGTTTTGTGCACTCATCCTGTTTGTGCATTTATTCAGATTTTGCTTAAATGCATTAATCCTGGTTCAATTTTTTCTCAAACCTTTCAAATAGCTATTGATAAGTAATAGAAAACATTTATTGTCACTAAACAAAACATCATTTGAAATAACAGGAAATCTTTTTCTGGACAGTTTTAAGAAGACAGATCACAAAATTGATCCTCCAGTGCATCCACATAGTTCAGATCAACATTCTTGTGCTCAAAATAAGCATGGAGGATGGCCAGAGCGGCCAGTGCATCCTTGCGACTGGGCAGGAGTGGTAGCACTTGCCAGAGGCTAGGCCTCTCTGGGGTATAGGCTGAAAACAAACCTGCAGTAGTAGAGTTAACTGCTATAGTGACACTTTGAGTGACATCTGGGCAGACCATCTTGTGCACTGATCTGGGTATGATTCCATACAAAAGCTGCACACTGGGCTTACAAAACATGTGCACTTATGGAGTTTGTGCACTTATCTGAGTTTAGATCATGTAAAAAATATAGGACAACAATTCAGGGCATGGAGAACATGTACAGTTATTCTATTTGTGCACCTATCCATTTTCTACTGTAGTATAAGGGATGTTTTATCATTTTCTGCATTCTCATTATGCATAAGGCATATCTATTAATCATCTTAAAATTAGGTTTTTTGAGTCATGATGGCTTTGAACTGGGAAAGCATTGCATGAGTTGATTCAAGAAATCAGTTTAACTATCTGAGTTTTTCTGCTGTGTCAGAACAGTCATGATACTTCTCATGTTAGGTCTCTCATTCACACCATTCATACAGCACAAGTACTGCATCAGCTCTCATCATTAGTGAGAATAGAGAGAATATTCAAAATATGTTAGTGGAAATGACAGTGAATCCTAGAGGTCATTTCCATTCACCTTTGGAATTATCACCATTTACCATACCAAGAACCTTAAAATAGACCATGCCATGATTGGGATACAATGATTTATCACATGAAGAGCATGGAAAGGAGAGAATAGCAGCTCATGAATACCTGCTGTAATTGGCCTAAGCCTAATATATTAAGAAAGTAGTCTGAAACTAAAGAACATCTTCGGTTTGGGGGAACTCCATTAACTGGAGATGGGATCAAACAACTAAATGACATTAAATCATTAGTGGCCACCAGTGAATCTTGACATGTCCTAAATTTAGCTACTCACCTGCCACACAACTCAATGCACACTTGAATGGACAGCTCTCAAAAATGCCTTCTATGATTTTTTCTTCTTTTGTCTTGATTTTGACAGGACCCATCGTACGGGGGATGATGATGTTCTCGCGTTGTCGATGATTCCAAAACAGAAAATATTTGGCAAGTTCATCGTTGAAGGGAATAGGCCTAATGTCGCTTTCATCACGCTTCACGTTCGCATGAGAAGCCATGTCCACGCGTCATCCACCGTGGTGGGGCTCGTGTGCTGCTCGTGTGTTCTGCTGCAGTTTCGCCGCATCAAATGCATAAAAATACTTCTTAGGGTTTTTCACTTGAGTCAGATAATTGTCTCACTTGACTCGGATACCTGTGATAAGATGTTCTTCATGCACGAGTGTCTGAGTCAAGTGAAAAATGGACTAACTCAAGTGAAAAACACTAGAATTCCAAGCGTAGGTTAGGCGAGGATTAGTTGATAACTAGGGGAAGGGGGGGAACTCAGGTTGTTTCTCTGCGAACTGTTGACCTCCCAACTGAAAAAAGTGCTTGCTGTCTTTCATCTACCTATCTGTTCAATAATTGAGCTAACTGAGCTAGCGATTCTATGATCTATCATTAATTAATGAGAAGAATAAAGAGGTAACGATAAGGTGACGTATTCTGGATGGATTTCTGGTGGTGAGCATAATGAGCCAACGCTGTTCGGTCCTTATGCTGATATTTTTTAAATAAAAAATATAGAGTTAGCGATTTTCCTCCAACTGATCCTCCTTTCCTGTTACGCAAGTTTGCTTCTCCTAACACCCCCCTCGGTTATGGGATTCCCTTGTTGGTTCGCTAAAATTGAGAAAGATTTTAGGTCATATGAATTTGCCCTCAAATGAAGACCGATGAGTTGTTCTATTTATTTATTCACTTTCAAGTCATGGCGAAAGTGTTGCACAACCTCCGCGTTGAATCCATCCACTCAAACACCAAAGCCTAAATTTTGTGGGGGGTACTTCCCATTTGATTGCCCTCTGAAATTTTATTTTTATGCCTCGAGTGCTTCATAAATCGAAGCCTACGTGTTCAAATCCGAATTCTGAGATGGTAGGCTCCATTCACAGACGTGTTTGTTCTCACCGCATGCATTCACTATTCATCGCGTCCTTCGTAAGTTACCAACGGACATTTCATTTTGTTACCGTGAGGAGTGAAGCTTTCATCTTGCTCGGGCGCTAGTACTTTTTCTAATAATTTTCTTTTCTTTTTTAGTGAAAAAAGGGGGAGGAACAAGTATAGTGCACTGGACGGGTCAGAATAGCCACCCTCGCGTGGGCGCGCTGACCGTTGCGGTTTCTTCATTTTTGTCGCTGTTACAGCCACGCCCGCGATATGATTAAAGGGTGCAATAAGAACGATGGAGACATCAGTCCCTCCGCCAGAAAGCAGATCTACAGGACGTCCCATAAGTCACTAAACCATTTCAAAAGATCACAACTACTAAACAGTTGGCACAAAAAATAAGTAACATTAACTGAATGATCATTTGGATTATCTTTGTCAAAAACAGAGACAATTCTAAGTTTGAGATTGCCTCAAAACGCCCTCCGCCTATATCAATACATTTGGCATGAGGGTTGTCACCAAAAAATCGCATAAACTCCTTCTGAACTCTGACAGGACTCTCAAAGACCTCCATCCAAGTGGAAACTTTTCTTCGTTGCTCCAGCGTTAATTGTGAAGCCTTTTCTCATGACAGCAAAAACAAATTCAACAAAATGATTTTTTTTTTGCTGTTTCTCAAGTTTATCTGAATTTAAAAGGAAAGAAAAACATACAAATGAGCAATTTTGTAAAAGAGGATTGGAAAAGGTATACCATGAATCATCCTTAAAAAGATACACCTTTCTAATATACATTCGAAGCAATTTCCGTTTAAGTCTGATACCAAGTCATTATCGTGAAAAAAAAATTCTAAAGGATGTTCTTTCCATCAATGCTAGCAGTGATCTGCTTGTTGCAGTTTGGAATGGTATAGTGACTTATGGGACATCCTGTATAGATATAGACTAACCTGATCAAGCTTTATTTCAATTTTTAATTTTATTTTTAATATTCTTAAATGAAGGACGTGGAATGAGAGACATATTGCTGAGGAAAATAGGGACAATTCTGACCCGTCTCGTGCAGAGAATGGAATGATAGCTTTTACCAGAGTCTGGCGTTTACGGAAATAAGAGCTTGCTACTCCCAGAAGGAGTGAAGAAGGGGTAATAGGAGCCACTTCGATATATCTTCATTTGGACTCTATTGTGAAAACTTTGGGGTGTAATGATCATGCTGCTGGAATGTTTCTTTTGTCTTGCAGTATGTGCAGCAAAAAAAATTTCGAAACAATTTTCATGGTAATCTAGCTTCGCTTATGAAAGCTGGTCCGACATCACGCGGAAATAAGACAGACGAGGGCAAGAAATCCTGGTCACTCGAAATCATATTTTACCTTTTGTAATTTGAAATATATGGAAAAGATATGAAGTTAATAAAACTCGAATGGTGCAATTATTGCTTACAGAGGTGCTCAAATTCAGGTTGAAAATGGGAGGGGGGGGGGGTTGACGGGCAAATCCTATATCTAACTGCCACCGGTGCATTTGCCCCCCCCCCCCCCCAAGCCGGGAAAGGCTGTTATATTATTCAATATTTTGCCTGGAAGGAATAAATGAAATGGCAAAGTCTTCAGGGACTTATGATTTGTTTCCACTTCTCCCCGGGATGAATTCCACTTTGCTCCGTACTGGAGGCTAAATGGCGGTACGGGGCAAACTGGAATAATTTTATACTACTGGATGAATATTTTGATGAAACAATTTATTCGTGGCTGTTCCAAATTCACAATGACTGAGAGATGAGTCTATCTGACATAATATGCGCCTCAGGGTAGGGTAAAACCATATAAGTTTGGACACTATAACGTGCGGTGTTACAAAACAAGTATTCGTGAGCGCTTTTCACAGCAGCAATAAACTGTTTCTGAGGGCGACCTAGCGTAAGCTTGATGTCATAGCCATTTATTTTATGGTGTCCGAACTTGATGGTTTTACTCAATATTATTATGTCAGATACACACTTTCATGTGACCTAATCTAATGACACGAATTCATGAGCTGGAAACAGTTAATCTTTCCACTTTCCCCGGTCTCTCATAAACAATGCTGCCGTGTCTGGCTCTTGGCCATGAGCATGGTCAATACAGGACGATTCATAAGTCGCCTGACCGTGCTGTGTTTGTCATTGCACGTGAGAGATGGCCCGTCTGGATGGTCCGACGTGGACCTTCGCAGCAGGATCTGTTGCTGTACGAGCTGCTACCAGTGCTGCGATGTGGGCGGTGCACTGTTCGAGCACCTCCGCTAGTGTGATGAGGGTGAAGATCAAGCGGTATATGAATCTGTAGACAGCGATCATCATTCGACTCCGACCTCACACGTCCCAATCGCGATTCCACTGCCACTGGGCCACTGCGAGGGTTGCATCCCGTGCTGCAAGCATGCAAGCTCTCTGCGGGCTTCGGAATAAATTTCTCGGTTTGAGATATCCACTGTGTACGTAGGATTTTAGGAAGAGGGGCTCAACATTTAGAGCACTTGTATGATGAGTGGAAGGAAGAGAGGGAGGGAGGGAGGGGGGGGGGGTGTTTCTCAGGCTTAAGCTTCTTGAGCCACCTCTCTTGCGTACGCCACTGCGTAATGCTTTCCTCCGCCAACCCCCCTCCGTTATCCATTGTAACAACTTCCCGCCTTGCAAGTCAGGGCCCAGAGGCATTTCGATTGACAATGTCTCACGGTTCTAACATTTATCATATGACCTGTCTAGAACCTGACGTCGAGACAGGAAAAGAGAGATCTCACATGTCCTCTTTTTTTAGACCTCCGCCTAAATACGAAAAGGACAAGACATTAACACACGCGTCAAGTTTGGAGGGCAAAAAACGAGATGTTTTCACTGCTGCCCCCCGACCGTCGGTGCACCCATGAACGTTGATGAAAGGAGAGTCTGTACAGTATTTGCAGCTGACTTCATAGAAGTTTAATTAGTAGCTTATTAATAAACCATAAGGAAAATATTCTCGTTATTTTCCTAGGCTCCATTTTGAGTTCGAATCCCATTATTTGGATTGCAAGAAGCAGGAGTTTCTACAGTTTCTTCCCCATATGGAGGAAATGAGCATACTCTAGAACAAGGGTCTCAAACTCGTTTCGGTTTGCGGGCTGCATCGCCAAGATCTCTGCAGGCCAAAGTGTAAAATCGCAGAATGACTAATCTACCACTACCTATATCGTGTATATTCGGCCCGAGACGTTTCTCTCTCGGGGTACGCGGACTGCGAGTTTGAGACCCCTGCTCTAGAAGTTCCTGACTTCAGCTAAAATCACTCTAGTGTAAATATTTAAACCGGTAACCTCGTGTACAGTACGCACATCTGAAAACGTAAATACCGTAGCGAAAGGAAGAGAGCGTCCCTTCGTCCTCAGTTCCGTAACCGACGCCTGAAAACGAATGCATGAATGTTGAAAGAGGATGGACCAGGTTGGGGCCATTCGGGAGAAGTTTCAATAGAAAATTTCCTTGAAGACTTCTGCTGAACCCGGCCATCTGTGATTTCATCATCTTCAGCATCAAAGGTTGTCAGAAAGAGGTGGGTCGTCGAAAGAGCAGTATTGTTTATTTCTACTTACATCATGCAGCTAATAAATTGGACAACGCAGGGTAACAGATTGCTGTTCAATCGCGCAATTTTAAATTATCACCTCTGTCAATTTGCAATGTTTTCATTCTCTCAAATTGCACTATTGTCTGGAGGAGATGACCGACAGAAGAAAAGAAAACCGAATGCCATAGGATTAGGAGGAAAAATTAGTGGTAGATAGACAGAGGGGGAAAGGGGGGGAATTTGTTGTGAGAACTGTGTAGTCAAAAATGATTTTCGATCCATGCCTCATAGGAAAGCAGAGAATTTCAGCTTCAAATGGCGTCTCTCGCATGATGAATCTGACATCGGAATTAAATACTGTCATATGTTGTGTGAATAATAGAACCAAGAAAATCGTGAATTATTCTATGGATTTTTGATAGCGTTAAAATTTATGGCGCAAATTTTTTTTCAGGTTTTTAAATCTGAAAAAAATGCTGAACAAATACTCCCAATAAATGACTTTCATTTACTGACGTCATGGTCGCAGCCGTTTCGCTGGGCAGTTTCGATTCACTTCTAAATATAAATAAATAAATAAAAACATTATAAAATAGCCTTTAAGCAGGCGCATTCTGCCTTGTCTTGTATTGGCGAATTCTCTACTCTAAACTTGAATGGAGTTCTCACAATGGAGTCATTTGTGCGTGTACCCGTTATTGACGACTGAATGACCTGGATTACATCCATTTAATATAGAGGTGCTCGAATGTCAACTCATATTACACCCAGTTTTGTCGTAACCCAAAATATTTTACTTATTTATCACTCCATCCGTTTGGTTTAAACACAAAAAAATTTTCATAAAGTTTTTTTTTTCAGTTTTAAAGGTCAAGAAATCATTTGGCAGGTGCCGAATTTAGATTCAGCTCACCTGAATTGAAAGTGCAAAATAAATGTTCCGCAATAATGCCTCAAACATTACATCTAGCCACAATTCCGAGACTACCGACTGGTTCATAGTATATAACGGGTGCATTCAACAACTATGTGAAAATGAACTCGCGTTCGTGCAGAGACTAATGACAGGTCTGAGAACTTGACCTAGATATGTTGCGCGTTCTAGTTTCGAGTTTCTCACGCATGTTCGCACAAAATAAAGCAAGTTCGAGTTGGAGTCTTTTCAGTTGGGCAAACCCCAACCCCCCCCCCCCCCCCCCCCCCCCCCCCCCCATTATTTTGTGCGAACATGCGTGAGAAACTCGAAACTAGAACGCGCAACATATCTAGGTCAAGTTCTCAGACCTGTCATTAGTCTCTGCACGAACGCGAGATCAGCTATTGGATGTGCTCAGCTTCCCAGAGCACCGTGCTGTCCCAAAATAGTTCCTGGTATAATACTTGGCGAAACCCAATTCACCATGAATTCCGTGCGCTAGTAGGAATTTTTTGTATTTGGCGGATCAAGAAGATCGATTCTGTGAAAATAAAAAATAAAACAGAAAAGCCACTCTAGAGAAGTCCAAAGTCATTCATGGAATTTTTCTTTGGGCTTGGGTTTGCAAAAATTTCCCAAAATTATGAAAGGCGTGATGTACACAATTTGGCATATACTTCCGACTTCCGTCTTGGACCGAATATCAGCAAATTGCAGTTTCGCTCGAAAATTTCCAATAATGCCACAGTAAATGGTACAATAAGAATGATATTGGCCTATCATTCTTATTGTACACAGGAATCTAGAGTGGTAAAGTGAGGCTAATTCCCGGTCGCATGCTTCGCGAGCGCCTTCCCCTCTGATGGGATACGACTCCCTCTTCCTTACGGCCGAAACACTGAGCGCAGGATTTCTTTCCATACCTTGTTGTTTGATTTCAACGCTATTTATGTCACTGCCACACATTGGTATTGCTTTTCCTAGGTGTTGAAGTGGATTGAAAAGGCGTCGAATACTTCTGAAGAAAAAAAATCCGTAGGGCCGGCAATGAATATAATTACTTCATATCTACTCTTGAATTATTCTGTTTTAAACCCCATTGAGTCAATCGGAAAATGCACCAAGTCTGCAAATGAGTTCAGCAAATTCACACCTCAGCCGTTTTGACTATAGTATTAGTAAGCAAACGCACTCAAACATTCTGTCAAGACTACCTTCTAAGCTTCCAAAGGGCCCAGTTCCAAGTTTCTTCCAATGGACAAGTTCGATGGTTACAAGATTGATGATGAATCGAAGTAGTGTCGTGGAGAGGAACTAGAATTCCAGTTGGTATTTTTGCCTTCTTCCCTGCTCTGCTAACAGGCATAGTGAACATACATATCCCTTGAGTCCAGGAAAGCTGAAATCACCTCCAGTGACAGATTTTACTGTGAAAACCTGTTGTCCCTGTAAAGCAACATTTTCCATTCGATAATTCTCAAAGCACTGACCAAAAGTGGGCAGTTTTCAAACCACCACCATTGAAAATAACTTTAAAAGAACTGCCTAGCAATGTAAGCAGAACAAGCTATTAATAGCAGACTGAATTCATGAATGTACCCTTTGAAGAAACTGACATCCTCTCATAGCAAAATTAGGAGTCAAGGATGTTCTGGAACCTGAGGGAATCAATATTATTGTCACCTTATCTTATTTTCAAACCATTAGCAGTCATGCAACAAATTCCATAATATAAAGCAGTTCATCCCTAAGCAGTGATTCCTCAATAACACTAATCTTTATTTTCATTCTCACATACATTAAAATGACACAAAAAGAGATCATTGTAGTCTCACAAAGAAAGTAAGGAACATCCTGTCAATGAAGAAACTTAAATATACTTCCTCCCTTCCTACGCTCATCCAGAGTTTGGAAACTTCTATCAACTCGGGGCTTCTTCAGTGGTCTCTTTTGAGGTGTTGCAGCCTTGCGCCTCTTAGCTCCTTTCTGCTCTGTACCTCCTGATGTTTCAGATCCCTTAAAATAAAAAAGCAAAGGCCTTCACACATGCAAATATTGGCAAAATGTATGCAAGAGACATTGTAATGGAGATGGAGAGCCAGATTTTAACCAGAGTGCAAGATAATTGCTTAATTTTTGGTGAAATTCAAGAGATCAAAATGTCCAAAAGCTCTTCTTGTGAAGTGAGTATCAATTTACCTGAGCATCTTTCCTAACATTATCAAAATTTGACTTTGGCTTCTTCTGGACTTCCTTGGGACTAAGAGCAGCAAAGACAAAGTTCTTCTTGCTTCCTCGTGCTGAAGTTGCATTGCTATTGCTTCCTGTTTTCACTACCTGTGCCAGGCATTCCAAAACATGTGACCCTCTGGCCAAGAACGATCCTTTCCTTGAAAGAGATGCCTGTAGAGCAAAATTCAAACATACAATCATGAAATAATGCCACTATTGTGAGGTGAGTCACAATTGAACATATATTCTGACCTGTGACTTGGAATCAGGAGAGGCCAGAAGGGAATAAAGGGAGGCAGAAGAGGCTGGCTTCTTGGTCCCCTCTAATTTAGTGGGTTCCTTTGGCACCTGCTCTGAGTTGAACACTCTGTTTCCATTGGAATCTCTACTATACATTCTCTGCAGGGCTTTGTGTCCCATACGAAGAAATTGACTATCCTCAGAATCCAAAATACTTGAAGGATCCTCTGCCACTGAATCAAACTGTTGAAATAAAGAATAAAAAGAACCACATTTTAAAGAGACATGGAAAAAAAAAAGTGATTAACATGGGTGGATGAAATGTCTAAACCTTTTCTGCTTCATGTTTCCACTTCTCTCTCTCAAATCTTTCAACTCTCCAACTGGCATCTTCCTCTTGGTCTTCCACCACTCCTACTTCATCATCCCAAGCTCGTCTTTCCAGTTCTTCGGAATCCCCATCTGTTAGAAATTTTTTTCTCATCATATTACATCTTTAGTCATGGAGTCCCCAAGCGTGACTTCTGAATGCAGACCTGTGCTTTTCCATTTGAATTTCCTCTGTCGCTGAGCATCTGAATGCAAATCCCCATCTTCCAAGTATATTTCCTGCATAAGTCGAAGTTCTCTGATATCTTGATCAATAGCCTGCCGCCTGTGAAGACTCATGTCAATAGAAAAGTCCAAACAATGAAGTGTGATGGTAATTTAGGAATATTCATTTAATCTCACTGACACATGAACTTTAGAGAGCTGGGCCTGAATCTTGCTAATGCTGGGCAAAGCAGCCTCATCTTCTGCCTTGGCAAGGAGGCCTTCCACATCTCCATTTTCTTCTTCCTCTCCTTCTGATTCATCCTCACTTGCCTCTGAACCTGATAGCTCTGCCTCCTCCTCCAAATAGTCTTGCAGATTCAACCTGAAAGCAAGTTTTCAAATATACTGGAACAATACTGGTATATGCAAACACTTTTTTTTTTTTTAGCAAGGAAAAGACATCACAACTTACTTATTATCAGCTGGCTCCTCATTACTGTAACATAATTCATCACTAGAACCCTCTTCATCTTCATTTCCCTGTTCTCCATTTCTACCATCAGGCTTGTCAGTTTTTACAAGAGAAATATTGTCATCATCATCTAGAGAGTATTCCTCATATAAATTTTTCTGTATTGGATAGAGATATATAAGACAGTTTACCAGTGCCACTAATGTATCACAAACCTGAGAAAGCGAGCTTTCGCTTCTTTCTCCTCAAGACAGGCACTTCATCATCACTCTCATCACTTTCTGCATTAATCTTCTGTAGAATGATGGTGCTTTCCTCAAGTTTTTCAGGAGTGTGAAGTTGAAGTTGAGTTTGGATGGCATGTGCCTCCAAAAATCCTGCTAAAAGATCCTCTGATTCTCCAAGTTCATGTCCATGGCTTTTAGTTCTTGGAAGAGAACTGCTGTCAACACTACTATTGGAGGAATAAGAAAATCAGCAGCACATTAGAGAATTAAATTAAAAAATTAATCCTATTAATAAGTTTATGCAATCTATAGAATCATGAGCACCATCTTACTTCTTTCCAAACTGTCCTGAACATAATGCCAGCAGCTCTTCCATATTTTCTTCATCTTCTCTCTGGCTGCACAGCTTCTCAATCCCCTTTTTGCTAGGAGAGAACCTTCCAGAACAGAGTCCTAAGAGTTCCTTCATGTTGTCCTCACTGTTGATGGACACATTCTTGGACTGATCAAGAAGTTTCTTGCTTGAGCTGACTGGAGAATCCTCATGAGCTGAGATGAGTTTTAATGGAGATGGAAGAGAATGAAGTCTGTCTGGTGTGGAATCTGGAAATGTTGCTTCTTGAGTGTCATCAATTGGCATAGTTGGGTGACGACTGAAAGATTGATTCCTCCCCTGAAAAAATATATCCACCACTTATTTTCCATTGTCTTCACAATTTGTGAAGATGATAACCACCAGATTGGAGACAGCAATAAGGATTTTTGTTCACTGCTGGTAAGGAATTATGGATGTATAAGCATGTATTTGCAGCAGCAAATAAGGCCTTGAGCATATCAGTCATCCTTAAACACCACATACCATGCCAAGAGTAGGACTTGGGCTGAGATTCTCCCTACTCTTCTCAAAGGGGGTGAGAAAACCTGTTAAAAAGATATTCTCATTCTCTGCCTCTTTGTCAGGCTCTATCTGATTGGTAATACCACCTCCAGGCTGATAAGGTGGGATGAGAGACCCTGTCAAATTGAAGCTTCCATCTCCATCTTCCATTTCTCTTTCTTTTTCATCTTCATCTTTCTCCCTCTCAACTTTCTTCCCAGCTTCATCTGCAAAAAGAAGTTTCAATATATCCTTTTTAGCTTTTAATCCTCACAGAAAAGTTGTGCACAGGAAAGAAGGGACTGTTCCCACCAATATATTGAGAACTGGCAAACAGATCCTCTGAAGATAAATGCTTCTGTGACTTGCTGGCTTCCAGCTTGCTGAAACTAGTGTCTGCCTCTGAAACATCTTCAGTCTCTTTGTGTTTTCTTGCATCTTTTTCCACTAATGGAAGAGAAATAAACATTTGAGGTCTCCAGGCCTCAGTAAGAATCTCTGGTAAGCTTAAAAAATCATGTGGTAAATAGGATTCAAACCAAATTGGGTCAGATGAGAAACAGGGGATGAAGGTCCATCTATATCAGGCAGTTCTTGCTCCTGTCTCTCAACAGAATCATCATGTTCTGTGTCCAATGCCACATCCTCTGATGCTGACTGAAGCTGGCTTTCACTGCAATCATTGTCTTCATAACCTGGATCATCTATTTCATCATCCTCCTCTGCTTCATCATCCACAAATGGATTCCTTGGCTTTTTAGACTCAGTCTCAATTTCAGTTACATCCTCAAGCAATTCTTCCTCCTCATCTTCTTCATCTGATGAATCTTCATTCTCATCTACATCTGTGAATTGGGCTTCTTCATCTTCTTCCATTGGTTCATCTGCATCTGCACACATCAAAATCATTCACAGTAAGCTTCTTCATGCTAACCAAAATAGTAAATATAGAGCCTGATATGGCCATACCAAGGTCCTGTTCATTATCCATGGCATGAAGCTCCTGTTTCCTCTTTATTTCTTCCTCCCTTTTTTGTCTGATCTTTGCCTGTAAAGCCTGCTTGAGTTTCAAGAGCTTTGCTCCAGGAGCTTGCTCTTCAGGATTTGGCTCTTCCTCACCACGAAGATGGACAGTCACAGTCTCTAACTTCAGTTCCTCCAGTCCTTGACTGTCAGTATCTTTGTGTACAATGCTGCAAAAGGAGAACCATTAATAATGGCATATATAATTCTTAATGAAGTTGCAATCAAAGAATACGTACTTAAGCTTGACATCACGATCCTTTTTCTTTGGGGTAGGCTTCAAATAAGAGTGCTTCAAGAACCTTTCCATGAATCCTAATATTCCAGAGCTCTTTCTTTTCATATCATCCTCATCCCCACCCAAATCAATAAAGCCAGATTCATTTGAACTAAGCTGAGGTTTCTTGGTCAGGACAGTTTGATTCTTGGAGAGCACTTGAGATAGCAGGACTGAGTGAGGCAGAGGCTTTGATTTTGGGATCTTCGAGTTGGAAAGAGTAATGGGAACAGAATCAACATCTTCAGAATCTCTTGCTTCATCAACAGATGAATGGTCTTTTGCAGGTTCACTTTTGGCATCATGATCATGGACAGATATAGTGGACACATCAAACTGTTCGGCTGCAGACAGGTGTGACTCTCTGCAAGATTCTTGGAAAAGTGACTTCCTCACTTTAAGGGGCATTCCACAATCAACACTTTCCAATTCATTAGTTTCATTCACCTCTTGCTCAACAATTTCATGACCAGGACTAATATTCTCTTTGTTCTCAGGGTCTTGGTCAGAATGAGCACCTTGCTGGGCTGGAACTACATTCTCCTTGTTCTCATCAATGTCACCTCCATTTGACTGTGAATAACCATCCTGATTATTCCTTGCATCTGCTTTATTGTAAGGTAGGGGAGTCTCTTGAGTCTCCTCCTCTCCTGAGCAGGAATTTTGGGACCCATTCACTTGGATTCCTGAGTCATCTTGGACTTCATCACTTCTTTCTTGTACTTGTGTTGGCATGTCTTGATCATCGTCTGATTTGTAGAACTGTTCCACCTCTTTGTCCATTTCCTTCAACTTCTTCCTGTGGAAAGAATGGATTACAATTCAAAACTTGTTTCAGATCAAGGACTGATCTGAAAATAGAACATACTGGTATCATCATCAAAGACTTACTAGCTCTCTAAAGACAAAATCATTTATCAGTACATTCAAGGGTTGCAAATTCAAGTCAGAACAGTGTCAACATGAAATTGGGATGGGAAAAAGTTATTAAATGTCAAGATCCATAAAAATATCTTCTCTCTTATCGACATTGAATTTGTGGTGTTGGTGTGTGTGCATATGCATGTCATTGAGGAATAAATGAGAAGAGGTGAGGAACAAGAATGATGTAATTGAGGATCTTCCTCAATGACACCATTCTCACTTCCATTTCAGCAAAACACTCCTTGAAGAAGAGCATTCAGTTCCTGCCTTCCAGGACACAAGTAAAATGCTTAGAAATATTTGGAATGGAGTGTTCATCTTTCATCTTCCCAAGACATAAGCAGCTTACCATACCACCCTCTATCATTTACAGGGGAGGGATTGTTGGGTCCTGTAGGCATTCATAAGTTGTAGTGACTGCTAACAGGCAGAGTGATTTCTTTTTATTACTTTCTAAAATTTAACCATAATGTGAAATTGTGATGGTAATATAACTTATTACTTTGTATTTGCAATGAAAGAGTACAATGTGGAAGGGACCACCTTCAGTTTCATATTTCTGAAAAACCATTGTGCTTGTGAACTTTATTGGCCATATTGCATTTGAATGTTTGAAATACAACTCCTAAAATGTCAAATTTTAGTATGAAGAGGATTTAAGGCATGCTTGAATGGTAGATTCTGAGAGAGAAGAAATAAGTAGCTGCCACCAACTCATACAGCCAAGTTACATCACAGACCACTAAGTACTTGTAGGCAAGCTTTTTTTGCTGCCTCTCTTAGCTAATGACTTCCTTGAATTCATGTGAATAAGAATAAAAATACTACACGTCATTCATTAGGTGAACCCAGCAACATGCACTATATCACCTGCCAAGAAAATGGAAATACTCATGCAGTATTACAGTAGTTATTGATTTCTCAGTTAACCATTGCCTAAGGCAAGTCAAATCAAGCTCTCATTCACTCAATCAAGAAGTTGCTGTTCAGTCATGCAACATACACAGTTCTTGCACAAGGGACATGAACCATCCTAGACTCTAGAGTACTCACGTGATCTTTTCTAATTCTTGAGGCTTGGGTTTGATAGTGTCCAACTTAAGCTTCTTCCTGTTCAAAAATTCCTGCAATGTCCGCTGTCTTGGTCTGTGATATGGGAGGGTGATGGGGGCTTCTCTCATCATACGCTGACTCACAGAATGGATCTTCTTTGCTTCAGATTCTCCTTTTTGATTGCTCACCCTCTTCTTGGGAGTCTTCTGCTTTCTACTTTTTTTCTTCTGAATATCAGTACCCTATGGAAATACAATAATCTTGTAATCAACATGGTGTTTGAGTTCAACAACAACAAAAAAAGACAACACGCTCATAAAAGACATACCTTAGCATCCTCAGAGTCTGAAGAAGGAGGAGTGTTGATGTTTGCTGATTGATGCACTTCATCCTTTTCATCCTCAGAGTCTTCAGGATCAAATAAATCCCTATTCTTGAAGACCAAATTTACTGCATCCTCAGATTCCTAGAGATACAGCAAAATATTAGAGAAGGATCAGGCCTAAGCAATGACCTTGATGAAAAGCAATGGCAAAAGGATTGTCATTGCTGACATTACATTGTGATAGCGACCTCCAATAGCATAGCACTTGATCACAACTAGCCATGAGGTCTTACCTGCTTCTGCTGTTTCATAATCTCAGAAATCCTTGATGAGGGCTTTTCTATTTTTAAGGCCTGATCTTTCTCTTCCTCTGATTCATCACCTGACAAGTAAACCCTTCTGTGTCTTGTCTGGAGTTTGACTGGTGATAAAGGACCCTCTGAGGCTAGATTCTCTTCTTTACCAGATGATGCATCATTTTCCTCTTGATCAGAACTATCAGAATCTTGGATTCGCCTTACTACATGACCTTTAGGCCTTTCACAATTGGTAGCAATTTGGAAGTCATCTTCATCTTCTTCCTCATCCGAAGAATGGATTTGCCGGTACTCTCCATCAGGTGAGAAAGCTGATGGTGGCACAGAACTGACTGAAACTCCATGAACTCCAGCAGCAGACATGTTCCTTTGGGAAGACATAAATAACATTAGAATGATAAGTTGATATTAAGTCTATAAGATGAATAAGCTTATGGAAGGGTAGCAAGTGGTAAAGCTATTAATATTCAGAGCAGCTCAAGACCAAGTTATCTCCAGGGCACCAACTTATATCTTGCATAACCCCTTACTGGCTACCTATTTTGACCCTTCCCCTCAAAATGAGTAGTATCACAAACAGTCTGGTCTCTTAACTCAAGGAGTCTCAGTTCAAAGAACTAGACCTAGTTTGTCCACCCCAACAGCTTGGTCAACAAATTGAGGACAATAGAGATTGAAGACGAGATTACAAAAGTCAGCATTATGGCTTTCTAACTCCACTAACCCCACCTGAGATATATGTAGGTAGCTAGCCTAAAGTTAAATTTAAAGAAAAGTGGAGCTCCAAAGCAGTATGCCTCTCAAACAGGCCTCATTGAAAATGTACCAAACCTACAGCATGAACTTAAGACAGAACAAACCCCAGCCTATTTGATAGTTAAGCCTGGAGGGAGCACTATTACCAGACTATCACTGGGCTTCATCACTGGATTACTATATGTTATCCCTAAAAGGTTTTGATATCAAACATTGATTTAACTCAAAGCACACTCTTGACTCTACAGAAAGTCCAACAAAACATAAATTGGAAATGAACACTTGAGGCCAAAATCAAGTTGAGTTTCCAATAAGAATCTTGTTTTCCAACTTTGGCTCCACTTCAGAGAAAATTTGTACCAGTTGATTTCTCTAAAATTGATGGCATCTTCTTTTCTATGATTGGGAAAAGAATAAAAATTGAATTTTCAAAGGAAAAAAGTGGAGCAAGCTTAGAATTATTTCATTTGCACCTGGCCCCTTAGAGACATGCATTTTTTCTCCTAAACCAACTTTGGAGGAATTTGCCCCCTATATAAAAAAAAAACAATGACGTAAAACTCCAAAGACAAAGGAACTAAGCCAGGGTTTCTGAGAGTTCCCTCCAGGGAACTAAGCTTTGGTTGAAGGTACACCAAATTTTTTTACAGTTTTGGCTTTTTCACCAAGTCAATCTGTAATCTCTATTTAATTTTATGTATTATAGATTTATCTTTATTATAACTACAAAAACCTCAATATGGATAGCACTGAAAGTAATACTGACGTGAATCCAGAGTTAGCTTGATTAGCAAAACGCATATGAATTCAGTGATGTCAGCAATTTGGCGAGGGTAAATTTGCATTGCTATTGGATTTCACATGATACTGTGGAATGTCAGCTAGTATCTTCCAAAATGTAGCGCACACTGGCAATTCACGGTCTAACGTTAGACGTATCGTAGTCCTTTTCTTAAAGCTTATGTAGCAATCAGACTCGGATTACTTCAGTGATGTTGATTGAACCAGTCTTAGCGAACAAGGGGTTAGCCTAAAGCACCATTGCCAGTTCTCATGCGGCTCATCCACGATATCCAAACCTAACATAACGTTAGGATTTAGAATCTATTACTTTAATTCAGCTCAATTGAGCTCACTGGCATTTCTAATCACGAAAAAGAAAAAGGAACAAATGCGGAAAATGATGCGATAGTCTGCATAACAAAAAGAATGCAGATATGCTGCTGCTTTCACTCTGAAGCCAAACGCTTAACTTATGAAGGATAAATTGCCGCCGCGGCTGTATCTCACCATGCGCGCTTCTGTTTTGTGCAGGGTTGTCACAATCTCCAGTCTCAATAGTTACTATTAAGAGCCAAGATTTTCGAATGCCTCCCAGTTCGTTGCGATTTTTTATACTTTACGTGTTTTTCAATCATTGCGACATACACGCAAAGCGTGAAAAATTAAGAAATAATGAAAGACAAGCATATGGGCGCAGGATTCGCTGCTGAAAATGGACAAAGCAAGCGACCTTAGTTGCATGCTTAGAGGTCCCACTCCAAGACAGTGGCGTAGCGAGGGAGGGGCTAGGGAGGGCTTCAACCCCCCCAAGTTTGGTTCAAGCCCCCCCAACTCCGGGCTAAATGCATCCGCCACCCCCCCAGCGCCAAGACATCCCCCCCCCCCCCCCCCCCCCCCCCTCCCTCCCCCCACAGGGCGAGGAGAAGTAAGCCCCCCCCACCGTTCCGCTTAGCCTCCCCATTGGCGAAACCCTGGCTACGCCACTGCTCCAAGGTCTCTAACAGGTCACGATGTCCCAGGTCAATTCCGAAACTTCCCACAGATACTCCATGTTAGACCAATTGCGTGTGTACGGGCAGGTATATCGTTAAATATATGTATTGTATGGAGATAATTCTGACGTCCCTCGGACAGTACATATGATGAATCCCTGTTCCTATTGTTGGCTTTTACCAATATTGTAAATCGTTTTTCTCTTGCAAAAAAAAATCTCTGGAGGATAGGCGTAGCGTAGAAGCCAATGAATTTGAATTCATTGTCTAAAGCACTGCAGAGCCAATCCTTGGCGAATCAAAAGTATCTTACTGAAAGAACTGTTCTTGCAGATAGCAATCGGAAACGGGGACATTTTCTCAAACAATTTAAGCACCTCGACTCCAAAGAAACTTATAGCACGAGCGCACACCTTCCCATGGACAAGATTCTGACATCCAAGATTTCGCAATTTAACATGAAAATAATGTAGCGTAGATAACAGGAAACGCAATCCAAAATTTCTGCAACTAGTAATGGAAGGCAATTATGAAAGGTTAGCAGTAGTCTAGCACGATACGTCTTTCAATGCAACAAATAACATCACAGCTTCATGTTACTTCACATCCGCCCCCCAGGATGTCCAATGCTATCTGCCCATTAACCAACTAAGGGAGTTCAGAGCACTTCAGAAAAAAAGCTATTTTCACGTTTCAAAGTGTGTCATATATTTGTATTTTCGAACGACCATTAAAAGAAGTAACGAGACGGTTAGCGAATCTCATCCAGCTAGCAGAATGACGGACTATCCGAAGACGCATCCATGTATTATGTCGATGCGAAAATATTCAACCTCCTCCATCTGTATTGGTGAATCAGCAGGTTTGTGTTGACGACGATGGTAGGAGTTTGAACCTCGTCCAGTTGAGGCTTACTCGATCATACTCGGCCGATTTCATAAGGTTGAGAGAATGGGCCTGTCCTGCCTCCGGCATTAGCTTGCGCGAACCGTCGCTTTCTGGATCTCCACTGTGGATCTCCTTTCCTGCAAAGTGGACCGAAAACTCAAATGCACTGGGTGGTGTGCAAGATCCCGGAAAGTTTAAGGCAATTTGTGCATCCGTGTCTGTAGAAGAAAATGTTCAGAGCGTAACTGGCTTTGAGGAACAAATATAATAAAGGGCATATTGGAAATCAGGACGAATGAGTCACTCTTACAATATCCGGTCCTTGAAACTGACGTATCAAATCATAAGATTGATTTTTACTATTACTGATGGGAACCCTCCCCAAAAATGATTGCTTTCAGGAACAATGTACTCTCTTCTGCGACGGCAGTTTCAGGAAAATACATACCATCGTGGCTTTATAGAATAGAAGTCATCAAATTCAACTGGGAATAAAAGGCACAGTACTCATAGCGCCTTCCAACCATAGCATCTTCCTTTCAATTGTACATGTTCACACTTCTTTTTGCTTGTTAGGCTTCTCTTTCATATTCAATGCAGATTAATCCAAATGCATTTCATCATAACCCTTAGAAACTGGTCTAAGCTTAATGAGGGCTCCATGGACAAGTACTCGAACTGCTTCCTTTCTGCCATGGCAGGCTTCTCATTCGCCGACTATAGAGTCCATTTTTCCAGAAAATGCTGAGCATGAGTATCCGATAAGCAAGTACCAATTGACTGGTCTTCGGTACGAATTTTTCGAAGAAACGCGGGCTTGCGAGCAAGGCCAGGGATCTCGTCGCATGAATGGAGTCCGGCGGATGAATGAACGAGTGAATGAGGTCTACATGCAAGGAAGGAAGGAAGCAACAGGTGGGTCGAACCATCTATCCATCGGGACGAGAGAGATCACACATATTATGGCAGGCCTATCCTATATAGAAGCGAGGTTCATGATTCTCAGATCCCAGTCAGTCCGTTCTCGGACTCGGTCGGGACCAGGCATTTCTCCCTTCTCTCAGTCTCTCTCTCCCTCCGCTTTTACCCATGCAGGCACCGCTCAGCGCCTGCGGTTCGGCGCCGCCCCGACGCCCCACTTGCCTGGCAGTGCACACCGCTTCGGACGAACATCTCTCCTTCCTTCCCCCCCCCCCCTCTCTCTCTCTCTTCCCCCTCCCCCTCCCCTCAGTCTAACTGATGGAAGTCGATGTTCTGAGGCCACCATATACCAGTAGATGTGTAACGTAAAGGGATACATCAGACATACTCAGACAATACTTTTTTTTAACACTAGCAGTCATTTGCGGTGCATATGATGTGCTCAACACGAGGATCAGGAAAGCTCCAAATACAAAATCCTGATTGGATGAAAATGATATAAATCATAATATACTTGAAAAGAATAGAAGAGAATAGGAAATGTGTATATGTGTGTAAAGGTGGAACCGCTCGCTGGGAAGAACAGCGGTTGATAGAAAGCATGGGCATGGAAGAGGAGAAAGGTAGGCATGGGAAGAGTGCGTCCGAAGCGGTAGGATATAGCCGCACTGCCAGGCTCGGAGGGAGTGCGGACGCCATGGCAATTTCGTCACAGCCCAAGGCTTTCGGGTCATGCAGCTGCACAGCACTCTCGAAAATCCCTCCCCCTTCGCCTGCCCCCCTCCCCCCCCCCCTCTCTCTCTCTCTCCCTCCTCCCCGTCTCTCTCTCTCTTCTCTTTCCTCTCTCTCTCTTTCCCCTCAGTCTCATTGGCAAGCGGGATACGAGCAGAGCGCGTATATATTCTCTTCCCTCCCTTGTGTCGCATGCCTCCTCGGCCAACATAATTTCATCTCGACTGTGAACCCCCCTGTGAATGAGAGGGAAACCATGTGGGAAAACGGATAAGATGTCAACCACTCATCAGGTGAGAAAGCAAGAGA